CAAGACGTGCCGGCCTCAATTGAAGCGGTGAAACCACGCAGAAATTTTCCTCGGATCCGATCTGCGCGGTAATTTGAGGTCCATTCAACTCGCAGCGTTTTGAGTCACCAGGAATGCACTTTATTAGATCTGCTGTGGTCTCGTTTCCACAAAGGTTCTTTCATGGCAGTCGTAATGTGGTTTTTCCTGGCTTACAGATAGAGCCTCTATACTTTTAATGTCATGATAGAGGAAATGTTATGCCCGATGTACGAACGTAACATTACAATTAAATATTGTAATTGCCTATGGATAACTCGATCTAAGCAGCCTTGAGCTTAGTTTGTACTCGGACAGGAGACTGCCTGGGAATTCCAGTTGTTCCAGGCTTGGGTTGTGAGGTGGCTGGCAGATGACAGCAACACTGGATTCTTGAATCTGTCTGTGTTGACCTTCATTACCTCTCGTACCGGGTTCTCCAATTGCCTCCCACACTACACCAAACCAAACATCCTCCAACCGTAGCAGCACCCTCCTGAGCAAGAATCTTGAGAGTCTGTGATGCGATCCTGCATCAACAAAAGACACGATTGTTGATTATTTACTTGATGGGGGTATGTAGATTTAAACAGTTTTACTTGCGGGTGGGCAGTTCCGTATTTGTGTACCCGTTCATCCCCTTCCAATCCACTGCTGGATGAGAGCCTCCCACACGCTGTGCGGGTCACGAGGATGGTTTGACCGTACTTGACCGCGCCGGTCAGTCGTTGCGCGTTGGTGACGGCGGCCTGGAAGCATGGAGGTGGACGTGTAGAAGTGTAACGAGTGTTTTCTGTCGACCGCCGTCGAAAAGGATGGGGCCCACATCTTGACAGAACGGTTGGAAGGCCGTGGCCCTGCTGTGTTGGCCCCACAGGGGCGTTGCCGTGACTCTCGCTAACAAGTTGAAGGGGGGGGGGGGCGGGGTGAACAAAAATAACCTTTGTCAAACGAGATGCACGAATCTGCAAAGGAATTTCTCTTTAAGCGAAATATTTCCAACGTGTGAGTAAATAAACCGACGTGCGTGTCGCTTCAGAGTGTGATCTGGCCACTTAGACCGACCAGAACGTCGTTTGAGCAATTATAGATGGAAACAATTATTTTTTTCAGGTGGCCAGCTAAGCGCCGGGGTTACACGCAGAGCCCTTTTTACCGCTCCACTGCTGGATGAGGGCCTTCCCACGCCGTGTGGGTCAAGAGTGTCGTTTGACCCCACTTCGACACGCTGCTCAGTTCTGTTTGGTGAAGGCGGCCGGGGGAGGGGGCTGAGATGACGTGAGAGCGGAGAAGTAAGAGTACAGCTTTTCTGCACTCCCCACCAACGTAGCCTTTCGGCCCTGTTTGCGCACGGCAGTCGCCCATCCTTGGACTATCCAGGCTCAAACCCGCTTGACTTGCGAGTTTTCACGAGATTGGGCTGGGGGGGCGGCGTATTCCGAGCGAGTTGGACGTTCGGTCGGCGTGAGTGTGGCGGGTTTGCAAAGCTCGCTGCCAAGCACATGCTCTGGGATGCAAGCTCTCGGCTTGGTGTGCCATGCGTGTACTCATGCACGCACGCGTGCACATGTTGGTGTTGCACGCTTGCCGTACGGCACCGTTGGTGCAAATGGACATGTGGTGGCGGTTGAGGGTGCCACACAAGAAACGCTTAAGACGTGCGTTGGCAAGAGCCGAGAAGTGTGGCGATAATTGAATAGGCATGATAATTGCACTGTTTAGACCAGCTGTGACACATTGTTGGAGGCGGTATACAGTTTCCTAAGGCCAGTGCAGCAGGAGAGATGTATTACTCACATTTCAGCTGTTAAGTTGGGGTGTTTTTTTTTTACGTTTAATACTCTGCGTTAAAGTGTTTTTAAGATTGCTCACGATTTTTATGTTATTTGCCCGTTGTTCGGTACTGGACGACGAGTGAATCTCAAACGACCTTTACAGTGCGCCCCGCAAATAAATTGGTGCAGAGTCATGACTTGAGGCTTAAGCGATTTATTCCGAGTGATTGATTGGTCATAAAGCGCAGGTTAATACGGTGAAAGCATGAGCTCCGTTCCGTCGTGTGACCCCAATATCGCGGACGAGATTAAAGGATCAAGCATGTAAAATTACGCAAAATGACGGCGGCCAGTTTATTCTTTATTTTCGGCACCAAAAGCCCTACACCGTCTTGCACACACGAGATACCGCGACGTTCTTGTCCGTGGTGGGGTGGGGGTTGCGGGCGGCTAACGTAACGTCGTCCTTGGCGCTGGACATGTGTGTGCCCCGCTCTGCCCGTGCCCGTGTGGCCTTTTTCCACCTGACCGTAACGACACAACCGCACGACAACGATAATGACGGCAGTGATGAATCTGCGCGGATCTCTACTTTTTTTTTTAAATGTCACAGGTGTCAGAATCTCAGCGGGAGAGGTTGCTTGCGGTGGGGGAGGGAGAGCTGGGCCGTTTTCGAGCTCTGTTTTTCAATTCCTGAGAAACAGGGAGAGCGAGAGAGAGAGGTAGCGAAGAGGCCCCCTCCCTCCCCCATGGGTGGACTCGGGGTCTTGTACACGTCACTTTCCCACACACACAACCGGAAAAGTTAAATCGCAGAGGAGCAAGGGGGGAGGGCGAGAGAGATGATGGGGTTGGGGCTGCAAGGCTAGAGGGAGAGAGGGAAGAGAGCACGGGGCTGTGGTGGGTGGTGGGGGTGGTGTGGAGGTTGTGTCGTTAAAAAGCTGCCAAGCCTGCTGCAAGAGGGCCAGGCAAACAATCTTGCTGTGTCTTCCCCTCGGGCTGTTCTCATCTCTGGGAGTTGGGGTGGAAGGGGGGGCTGGGTGGTTGGGGGGGGGATACTGTACATGGAAACATTCGCTGGCTTATGTTATTTGCAGCATTTCAAATGGTCACAAACGATTGTGTAATTTGCGTTTAAAGGCGCAGCTCGTTCGCCAGTGTGTGTGTGGTGTGCATGGGGCGACGAGGGAAGGTTTTGTTTCTGTGATCTCGCTCCCGCGCCATGCACTGCTCCATCACTTCACATTGGCGTCACAAAAGTTAACAATTTTTGTGTGGTACCAGAGTGGCGGTGGTGGCGGTGGTTACCGGTGGTGCCTTGTGGAATGACCGGTGATGGCTGCTGGTGTATTCCACCAGCCCGTTTAAACGCCAGAAAGTGAAAAACATGATTTTTCCCTTCAAAATCAGCATTGAGGCATTGGTGCTCATCTCCTGCTTGCAGGCCTTGAGCAAGTGGTGGAAAGTCCACATATTGAGAAGGGTGAGTCTCTCCATCTGCCAACAACTGTTGACTCCCCCCCCCACACAAAGTGGTACAAACATTTTTATCCCAGGGGAGGTGATGGGCCTAGTTAACACTCAACCAGAATTTTTACTTTTGCAACCTCGAGATTTGGCGCTCTCTCTCACGCGGGCAAGTTCCACAAGTTAGGCAAGCTCGCAGTCACAATTTCATAATTATCCGCAATACATGTGCGGCGGTGTGTCGTGTCGAAGGTTAATTATAGCCTTTGGAATAAAATAGGCTAATTTTTGGAATTAGTCAGTGGGTTGTGACAAATGCATGGAAATGAATGCCACCAAACCCCACCATCCCAGCGTGGATTGGGGTTCAAATCAGTTGGACAGAGTCCGTCCGATGCCACCGCGGGTATTTTAGGAACACGTCAACCCTTTAAGAAAGGTGGGAGCATTATTTCCCCATTCGAGTTACAGTATTTCTACTTTGTGGGAATACACTACATCCATGCGACAAAAGCTATTCCATCATTGTTCTGACGATTACCCACACCTTTAATGTGTCGGAAGCGTATGCCCGAAATCACGGAACTGGCCCACAAGCAGAAACGAGCGTTCTAAATAAGTCCAGGTTCCAATCGTGGCAACAGAGCTTTGATTTTATTTTTCGACAGCAGAACATTGCATATGCGCTAACAGCCTAGTAGTGACAGCGAAATACAACAATCCAGAGTGTTGAAAGAACACCTCTTTAAGTTTAGAGGTTAAGCCCCCAAGCATGCACTATTGTCTTGCACCAGGCCACATGCCTTGCGGGCGGCGGGGTGTAGGAGAAGGAGAGAAAGGCGGGGGAGCGCACAGGGTGGGGGAATATTTCCTGATTGACGCGTCTTAATTTCCAAGGCGAGTGTGTGCAACAAACCTACAGAGAGAGAGAGAGAGATCTCAATGTAAACAGAACAAAGATCACCATCACAAGTGACTCTTCAGGACCGACCAGTGTGCTCACGCGTTTATTTGCACGATTTGGGAACTGTTGCCGTGCGCACTGTACCCGTGTGTGTGTGTGGGTGGTTGCACGCACCGCGTGGAGGGGTGGTGGGACAGCGATTGATGTGCTGCGCTACAAACGAGAACACCCGCGACCCGAACTCGATTCCCACTCACGACCAATAACAGTGACGCAATATTCAAAACGGTACTTGGCCTCTCCTAGGTCGACTCGGGCTCAAATGAGGTATGTGGTGTGTAAACATCGCCACTGGGGAGACAAAGGCGGCCAGGCGTGGTGCTGGCCACCCACCCCTAAGTGCGCCATGCCGGCCATCATAGGCGCTCGCTTAGTAGCACTTGCCCCAAAAGTCTGTTAAGGCTATACGAGGCATCTTTGTCTTTGCACACTCCGCCGTGCCACGGATGGAGTTTAATGGCGCTGTGTCCGTAAAATGCTTGTGGGTGAACTTTCGCGGGGATGACTCATTGTTGCACGAATCCCTTGGCCGGTTCATGACCTGGCTTCGACAAAAGCCGCCCAATGGATAGCTCTGGGTAGTGACGCTTCAAAGCGACTGTGCTCTGCTCTGTTCTTCGTCGTTATTGGTTTTTATTTTTGATTCTTTTTAAGCTAGTAAATGACGAGTAGGGGCGGACACGTGGTCCTCTTTTTCCTGTCCAGCCCCGCTTTAGTCAGGACGGTGGCGGGCTTCATTCGCGACTTTTTTTTATCGTCATCGTGAAGAGCACGCCGAGCCACACGGTGGGGTGCTGTGTGATCGCACGTGCTCGTCGTCGTCATTAAAGCGACGAGGAGAGAGAAGTGACGTGTGGGGGTGCGTATCTTCGTCGCTGCAAAGGTGCAGGGTGCTAGATCTCGTATTTTGTTGGAGACAACGAAAGATGGTTTGTGAACGATTCTTAAGCGACCAAAAGAATGGGTTTTGTTTTTATTTCCTTGTTCGGAGAAACAGGGCTTGCTCCCGCAGTCAGCGCTGTTATGCTAAATTATGAAATAAAGACGCGTGCAACTTCCTCAACAGAAAACGCATTGTGTCAGCACTGGAAAAGACAAATCCAAATGTAAACGAAAAATGTAGAGAATCGCGCAAGAACTAACGATTTTCCAGGAATTTCTAGTTGTTTAAATGTTGCTTCCCCGTTTTCATTACGCGGCCCTTCTTGAGGAATGCTTCATTGTTGTGACAACCGCATGCAAGAGGTCGACCAAATTGTGCAAACTTTTTCCCAGGTACGCGATCTCTTTTTTTTTAAACGTGTTCTCTTCCAGTCCAAGAATGGCCGGGGGAGCTCGACCAAATGGAGTGTTACGTTTATGGAGAGAGGAAAAATGCGCGAGCGTGCGTATGGATTCTTTTTTTTTAATCGGATGAACCGCCGCCGTCATGAATATTTCCGTTGTGACGAGCCCGTTGAATGCCTCTTCCCCCAATTATGCAGCAGCTCCCGAACAGAGTCGAGCTGAGCTTGAGCGTCGGCAATTTCTCCGGCGAATTTAAGCGGTGGTGGGGTGGCAAAACGAAAGGGATGTCAAGCCGGCTTTTTGGGCTCCCGTTTCTCGCCCTCCAGCGCTGAATTCTGAACACTGCAACAAACGGTTTTGCGCCTTTTTTCATTCTTTTTGGCAGACGCCACGCAGCCTCGGGTTGGCCCAGCTCTCTCTGGCTGAGGGATAAAAAGCGACGACGTTGGTGGCGATCCGTGCTGGTTAATTGACCGATTTATTGCCTTCCTGTCAAAGTTTGCGTAAGAGACAGACGCCTTTTGTTTCTAACCAGGTGAGAGAGAACCCCATTTCAACGGAGGGCTTAGTTACAAAAGGGCATTAGCCACAAATTATGCAATCTCACAGTCAAACCTTTCAAAATCGTCCTTATAATACACAAGGCTGTCCTTTCGAAGGTAATTATAGCTTCAGGGAAAATGGCTTTTTTATAGACTTGGATGGTTTGATACATGCACAAACAAAACAAATACACCATCACCACAAGTTTATCATGGATGAAAATATGCAGTTTGTTTGAGTACTTCCATGTGACACGATGATGGTATTTTATGAGCGTGTTTCTGTTGTCAGGAGTAAAATTACACTTTGCGATCAACCTAGTGTGTCTGAAATGCACGTCCGAAATCTTGGAACTGTCCCAGAACAAACACATTCTAAAATGCGCAAATGTCAAATGCCATAAATAAACTCGTGGCACTTGAAATTCATATCGGTTCCAAAATTTTACAGTGGGAAATATTGGCAAAATTCTGTTATTTATAATTTAAAAAAAGCAAGATAATAGACCAGATGGGGGTGGAGGAAGTAGCGCGCGCAGTAGTTTACACACTGCTTTATATACCCAGGGACCCGAGTTCGATTCCCGGCCACGGCTAACATTATTGGCAAGTGATGGACTCCCCGCTTCACCAACCCGCACTAAGCAGCGCGGTGACGTATGGTCAAACAAGCGCCATTGGGGACACAGCTGGGGGGTGCGGCCTTCAACTATCAGTGAATTTCGATGTAAAGCTTTCGTGACTGCAGGGATTCATCTTCTTGGTTCTTTCGGTAAAGTCACGTAGAAGGGAAATAATAAAATAATAAAAATAAAACATAATAAAATTTCCATTTAAAGCTTTCGTGACTGCAGGGATTCATCATCTTGGTTCTTTCGGTAAGTCACGTAGAATGGAAATAATAAAATAATAAAAATAAAACATAATAAAATTTCGATTTAAAGCTTTCGTGACTGCAGGGATTCATCTTCTTGGTTCTTTCGGTAAAGTCACGTTGAAGGGAAGTAATAAAATACTAAATATAAAACATAATAAAATAATTCTCACAACGTTTCGGCCACAACGCAAGCAGCCGTCCTCAGGTGAAGACCAGGTCTGTCAGGGAGACAGCGTCTGAATACTGCTGGTCTTCACCTGAGGACGGCTGCTTACGTTGTGGCCGAAACGTCGTGAGAATTATTTTATTTGTTTATTTTAATAATTTTATTACTTCCCTTCTACGTGACTTTACCGAAAGAACCAAGAAGATGTATCAGTGAATGGACAAAAGGGTTGTAAATTATTAATCTTAAGAAGCAGATGGAGCAAAAGGAAATGATCAAAATAATTTAAATTCACATTGTCTTACCCAGTGCTTCCCATCCTCCCTGGGCCCACAGCCTACTGTCAACCATCAAACATTTTTCATGGACTACCATGTACCAGTGACATTTGTCAGATTGAAACCTACTCTAAATCATTGTAACTGAAATAGTTCCGCAGAGAACTGTCTTTCAGAAACTGTCATTTGTCCACGGACCACAGGTTGAGAACCACTGGTCTAAGCAACGAGTCCGATTTATTGTAGAAGACCGATTAACAGTTTACGGTCATTAAATGTAAGAGATGCTGTAAATTTCCTGTGTTGCTAGCGATTCGCACTGGCGTCTTCTCGAAGGCAAAGCTCCTTCCAGCCCACGACTCTGGGGTGATTCATCATCTCGCTTCCTGTGAAGACGTTATAAGCAGCGCTTGGACAATCTGTGCCACGTTTTTTTTTTGCTCAAACGAAGGCCTCCCCAAGCCCACCACCTCTCAGTTTCCCCATTGCACGTGTACTCAACCTGGGGTGCCCGGGCACGAGCGGCTTTCGTTAGGTGACCTCCAAGAAGCTTGGGAACCACCATCAATCTGGACCCATGCGCACTGAATCGCCGGCTTGGGATGAACGGTGGCGGCAGGAGGTGGCGGTGCCCGAAAGGCCGTGGGCATCACGATGCCACCCAACACGGGGCCAGCCTTATTCGTGGTGTCGCTCTTCTTCCTTGAGCTCGCCGGGCCTGCGAATGACAGCCGAGATGTAGGGAATAATGCACTGAATGTGAAATGGCTTTTAGCTGTATGCTGTGTGTTGATATCTTCCCCTCCTCCCAATATAGATTTTATTATTGGCCTGAAGCCCTTTTACAGTGCACTGAAAGGAGGCAATTGTGGACCTCTGTGGTGGTGAATGAAACGCAATTACCGTGGTAATCTGGGCGGGCAGCGAACGTCGCTGCAAATGCCTTTATTTAGAGATTATGTAACGTGCGGCGAGTCCGGCGAAATGTGCAGGTGCAGTGTTCGCTTGTGTTAAAAAACGAAATAGCGCACCATTATCCAATTCCTGTGATTTAGTTTGCGTTTAACGAGGTCACAGCACTTTCCTTTCTGCCTGTGTTCCCTCACGTTGCTGCACTCTGGAATTTCCTTCAATTATCGTCTTCTTTTCCCAAGCTCTTAATTCAAATTCAAGTAACTTGTTACTCTCTTATCGATTTACAACTTTGGCAGTGCTCTTGTTGCTGCCCACTTTATGTCTTGTGGGCCTCTGCCGGCCTGTGCTCAGTAGCTGGGGAAAAAATACGGCAGAACAACTTTGTGCAATATTGTAAAACCTTGGATTGCGAGCATTATTCGTTCCGGAAACGTGTTTGTCATCCAAAGCACTCGTACATCAGTTGTGATCACGTGACGCTCGGCAGACAAAGCGTATACACGTACTACTCGTATTGCAAGACCTCGCTCGTTTATCAAATTCATATTTATTTAAAAAATTTAGCTCGTCTTCCAAAACACTCGCAGACCAAGTTACTCGCAATCCAAGGTTTTACTGTATTTACAAACGTTAAAATCTCCGTGTTAAGACACTTTCTGCAGCAATATAACGACCCTGCGTGTTTTTATTCCCCTCTCGTTTGGAAATTGGCTTCACGTGCGCAAAAAAAACGCAAAGTGCAACGGCAATCATTATTATGATGTGCAAGTCAATGGAAAATGTAAGAGGCTGCTGGGTTTGTGTGAGGTTAGCGGATGTAAAACTAGCGGTAACAGATTCAAAGCGTGGAACAGGCGGGTTGGTACGGCTGCAGAGCGAACCTCTTAGTCATCAGGGGTTTCGTTGGCGAGCTCCTCTGGTCTGCTCGCCGCAGCGGTGACACTTTGGAAATGCACGGTGGGGGGGGGGGGGCACAGAGGAGCCCCCCCCCCCACATCCCGCCGTCACCTCTTACATTGTCCACTTCACAATAACAACTCCAGTACATGCATTCCACCCTTTGAATGCGGGCGTCCATGGATGGATGGATCAAATAAGAATGTGTCAGCAATCGCAGGGCCTGCATGCCTGCCCGCCGGCGTCATTGACAGCCACTTTTAATCTTTTGTCGCCGGCTTGCAAGTTGGAGAGAGCGATTCCTTGACAGTAATGGCCGCATTTATCCCGACAGTTGCAATGTCACGGTGCGCGTTAAGCGGTGGGGGAAGGGGGGTCGGTGGAGGGAAGGGGGCCGGGGGTGGATTGGGGGGGGGGGGGCAAGCTCGCCGCTGTGCTCAGGCAGCGTTTACGTATTCCGCTCATCGCCACCCGCGGTGGTGAGTGAGGTTGTTTCATTCAATTAGCAAAAACCTCAAAGATGGAATCAATCACGCGGCCGCCCCAACGCACGCCAGTGCGATGACGTGCGGAAGAAGGGTAGGCCAGAGTGCCGTGGCAGGTGCCTCGGGAAATCTATCGCCGAGCACAATGCCCCGGCGCCCATCAATCGACGTGCGTTCACGTCGCCGTTAACCTTTGCGTTAAAAACGACACCGGGTGTAAACAGTCCGCGCGCTGGACTTGCAATTCATAGGTCGTCGATTTGATTCCTTCTTCTGCCAATGGGCACGTTTATTAACCCCACCTCCCCTTACCCAGCAGTGTAAATGGGTACACAACAGTTGGTTGATGGGCAGGTCACGTGTGGTGGGGTAAAGTATGAGCACCCCCACTTCTTGCAACAAGTGCATTGTGCGAGTATCGGGCCGACTGCTGTCTAGAGGGGCCCTGCAGGGCCCCCTCTGTGCAAGCCCCCTTAACGGCAGCGGCGGCGTGAGCGCGTGCGATTGCAAGGCTGCGTGCGCCTTTAACCTTTTGCTCTTCGTAAAATCTCATGCCAGCCGCGAGTTGGGGTATTTTTGGGTCGGATTTGGCCAGTGTGCGCGCGCACGTGCCCGTGCGTGTGTTTTTTTTCCCGCATCTGCCAAAAAGGTGGCGCAACACGTGCTGCGCCCCCTAACTCAACGACGGGTGGGCCGGTGCCGGGGAGAGAGCGAATCGGCCGTAAAAATCACGAGAGACGAGCCACCCCAGACCGTCACCCAGTCCGTTTTTTTTTATTGGAGGCATCATCATCATCGGGACACTAAGTAACCCTCTGCCAGGCTTAAATAAACAACGTGCCCCGAATGAAAATGAGACGCCGTTGCGCTCTTTGGACAAACCGCTCATCATAATTTCTGATTATTATGTTTTGTTGGGTTGTGTTTATTTTCGCTGTGTTTTTAATCCACGGGGGATTCTATTTCATTAGGCGGATTACGTCGTTTGCCGAGTGCACTCACTAATTTATGTCGCCGGGTTTTTTTTTACGCTGGTCTCGTGAGACTCGGCTGGGTTTTTTTTATCGGCTTGATTAACATCGATCTGTATTTGTAAGGCCCTTGTCGTCTATTTTACATCACTCGACGCAAACGAGACGGCGGTTTTGAAATCCGGGTGACGCGTTCGCAAACTTACTTTTGCACGGTTATACGTCGTGGAGCGGTGGTGTAGCGGTTAGCCCCGCTACTTTATGAACCCGGCGACCTGAGTTACGATCCGCACCTCCGATTAACACGGTTGGCTACGTACGGTGCGAAAGAAGTTCAAGCATAGATACACTGCTAACATCGGTAGCGAGTGATGTCCAGATTGAGCCTCCTGTAATCCACCTGGGCCTTCCCCAATCCACGAACCTGCACTGACTGCCCTCTCCCCCACTTTGGAATCCCGTACAATATCATTTAATGCTATTTTTGCATCTGTCTTTTTTTTAAATTACTGGTAATTGTAGCGGCCTCCAGTATACTGGGGAGGTCACATGAAAGAATTATGTAAAACATGCACATTTAAAAAAAATCGATTCTTACACGATTCGGTGCACGTATTGTGAACTTAAGATACTTACGATTTAAGAACTCAACTGAAGCGTGGTTCTAATATAAATAAAAACAATAATACGCGTCCCTTTGTCGATTCAATGCTGTATGAAGGCTTCCCAATCAGTTGGGGGGTGGGGGTGGCTAGCCATGCTTGACCACGCTGGTCAGTGCAGGCTCGCCGTGGCCTGGATTCTGAACTTGCAATGTAGTTCACTAACGACTGCGCCACTGCTCTCCGCCACCCCTTTCAACTGCTAAAACATTTCCAGCGTGTGCTTTCAAACAGGGTAGATTTAAAACAAACAAAAAAAACCTTTCATTGAATAAATATGTACTTTTTTTTTAAACCGTTTAAAAAAAATTCAAAGCTACGGCGGTTTGCTTTCAGCGAGTTGAAAGTTGGCAGTGCGACAGTAATTTTTACGCGCCGAGTGATCGTTTCCGATTGGCTGCCACGCGTGCGGATTACAGGAATAACAGCGTTAGCGGACCGCCGCGCGGCTGGATACACGTGTAAGCGTTTTTCCAACGCCGGATTTATGAGAAGCGACGAGCAGGAGAGCGTGGACGTCGTTAACACGCGTCGCACTTTACGCTCAATTAATGTGCGCTGCCTGTTGGTATAGCTACAAAGCTGGGGTGGTCGCAGGTGGAACAGAGCAAAATCGTCGTTTAACATTTACTCCCTCTGCGTGAAATTGAACACGTGAGATTTCCGCAACCAAATGTTTCGCTTCATAATAGTTTTGTGGCTCCGATCGCCTTGTGAGTACAATACCCAATGGGTGTCGTGCACCCTGACGCAGCCAAATAATTGGAGTTGCCACGCGAACAAGCGACACGTCAATAAAAAAAAACTGATGCAAATAAAAGGCGGCGCTGCTGTCCGCATGACAACTTCATTTATTTCAGTTTAGTTTAATTTGTTTTGCTGTGTCAGGTGGAGGAGGGTGTACCACACAACATTGGTATTGTGTCCACATGGCGATCTGGCCTAAAAATCTATTTATGAATCATCGGCACAAAATATTCCCTCTTTTTATACGTGGGTGTAGGCGTTTGCAGAAGGACCTTTTTAATCGTTACAGCGGCAATGTTTAACAAATCTGGGAGCGTGTGTCAGAATTCAACGTTGGGGCTGTCCCAAGCAAAGGGGAGATGGTCAGAGAGTGGAGAAATTCCTTCCACATTCGACTCGAAACAAAATGAATAACGGTGGACGTTGGAAAAGATTAGCAGCTGGTCTTGCTGGATTTTCGGGCAAAGGTTAAGCTTGTTTAAGAAGCAATCAGAATTTCACAAGACCCTTTCATATTTGCGGTGCCAGTCTTCCACGTGTCGCCACGCGGCCGCTGCTCCTGTGCACGGCTTGCGAACGAACAAACAAAATAAGCAACAAGCGAATGCGTTGCCTGCGGCAGGTTCTTTGGCAAAATGTCTCCTCCTCTGCCGCAAATCTAAAACACTCCTCGAGGTGGATTTTAACTTCATTACGAGTAGACGCTCATTGAGCTCGAAGAGTCGATATAATCGCGTGTGCGGCGGGGAGAGTGTCGAGACAGTTTTCACAATAAACGACTGCTCCGCGCGGGTCAATTTAAATTCACTTAAATATTTTTTGGCAAATGTCACGCCGTTATTTCTGTGTGTTATGGACCCGGTGCGACGATATTGAGGATGGTTGTGTCTTTGTTTCGTGTGTTCTTTGAAAGAAAACATTTTGTACGACAGATTGTTTCTATGTTGATGATGAGAATAATAACGATTTGCATTCATTTGTCAGTCCACTGCTTCATGAAGCCCTTCTTATGCTCTGTTGGTAATGGGAATTTTTTTGACCATACTTCACCTCGCTGGTCATTACGGTGAAAGTGGGTTTGGGGGGTGGGGGGGGGCGACCATCGGTTCGGATATCACTCGCTTTGGATGCTCGCCGTAGCAGAGAGTCAAACTCCAGTTAACACGTTTAATTCACTGCATACGAATCAATGCGCCACTGGATGGAATAGAGGGAACTTAAGCCATGGACCTGCCCATGGGCAGACAACTCAAGAAGAAGACATTGCATTTATATGAATTAATAGGGATGAATGATCCAACCAAAGTCTGATTCTAAGCAAATGGGATTTAATCTGCGTTTTTCTGGATGCGATCGTTTGGTACCAAGATGCTAATCGGATCGATTCCCAGGTGAGAAAGAGGGAAACACAGTACAGTAAAACCTTGGATTGCGAGTAACTTGGTCTGCGAGTGTTTTGCAAGACGAGCAAATTTTTTTAATTACTTTGATAAACGAGCGAGGTCTTGCAATACGAGTAGTACGTGTATACGCTTTGTCTGCCGAGCGTCACGTGATCACAACTGATGTACGAGTGCTTTGATATACGAGTGCTTTGGATTACAAACACGTTTCCGGAACGAATTATGCTCGCAATCCAAGGTTTTACTGTAAATGGAAATATTCCAAAGTGTGCAACCGTCTTTGGTGGTGCGCGTCGGAAACGGTGAAAACCTATAACCCTCCCCTGTCTCCTGCGCGTGCAGTACCGTGTTGGGAACAAGCCTGGGAAGGCGCGCTCTGGTCAGGCCTCGGCAGCTGCTAGCGGCGGCGGCGCCGGTAGCAGCGGCGGAGGAGGCGGTAGCGGCGGCGGTAGTGGCGGTGGCGGCGTGAGCCCCGGTCCCGGCTCTGCCTCGTCGTCGTCAGCCGGCCCGGCGCAGGGCCAGGGCTCGGGCCTCCGCTCGGCCATCTCGAGCGGCGCGCGGCGACGGCGCACGCGCTGTCGCAAGTGCGAGGCGTGCGTGCGCACCGAGTGCGGCGAGTGCACCTTCTGCAAGGACATGAAGAAGTTCGGAGGCCCCGGCAAGATGAAGCAGTCGTGCATCATGAGGCAGTGCATCGCCGTGAGTAACCCGCGCGGCGCAAGGCGATTCGGGTTTTTGTTTTGTTTGTGAATGCGTTCCAGCTACGGTTGAACGCGGATCGGGGCGACTGCCCCGGGCTCCGCACTTTGGGGGGGCGGGAAGGGGCGGGGGGGGGCGGGGTGGACCCCCCCCTCCCCCCCCCCCCCCCCCCCCGTAGCAGTTTTCGGATTTGAATGAAGCTGTGGAGAAGCGTCGTGTTGCTGTTAGCGACTCGCCCTGTTCTACACCGGCCACGTTGATCAGAGTTCCGCCCAAAACTAGGAGAGACGCATACCAGAGCAAACATAAAATACTCAAATGCATACTTACAGATGAACACTGGCTCATAAAATAATTCCGAGGACTAGTGTACTATGGAACTCTATACGTAATCCATGTTAGTGTATTATTATTCCTAGGTTGTATTATTTATTTGGACACACATGCAGGATGGACAACAACAGGAAAACTTGAAAGAGTTGTCCGGAAAAATGGAAGGAACCAGGTTTCAAGGGACGACCTAACAGAGAATATTATGATGACAACATAAGAGATTGCAGCCAGAAATATGGACACTACTTGAGCATATTGGCACAAGACAGAGGAATGCGGAAACATGACCAAATGTTTTGGACCCCCAAGTGCTATGCCCACGGATCGTGATGATGATGATGTATTTTCTTGCTTCCACTTTTGAATTTTCGCTTGTTTTGCATTTGCACTAATGTTGAACCCGGCGTGTGTGCGTCGCGCGTCACAGCCTATCCTCCCGCACACGGCCGTGTGCCGCATCTGTGGCGAGGCCGGCAAGGAGGATGCGGCGGAGGGGGAGGAAGAGAAGTTCAGCATGACGCTCATGGAATGCTCCATCTGCAACGAGATCGTCCACCCTGCCTGCCTCAAGGTCGGATTTCCCCGTCGTCCACGGAGACACAGCCCCCTTGCGTGCACACGCTGGCTGGGATTCTAGTGTTTTGTGTCGTGTGTGTTTCGTGTCGGGTACAACGGTGGCGAGATGTTAACTATCTCGCCTGGTACATAGGAGGTCGTGGGTTAGATCCTGACCCTGACACCTGTATATTTGGAGTTTGCATGTTCTCCCCGTGTTCTCGTGGATTTTTCTCCGGGTCCTCCGGTTTTGCCCTTCCATATTTTAGAATTGACGTGCCTTTAGAGTATTTGGCTGCTATAAATTTCCATATGATAAGCCACTTAGTTGAGCTATCATTTGTGATCGTCAGGTCGTTTCTGAAAAAGAGCTATAAAGCTCGGTGGCCCTTCACCTGGTAAAAAAAAAAGCTTCGTTTTATGTCGTATGTTTTGTGTGTCGTGTGTCATGTGTTGCATGTTTCATGTGGCGTGTTTCGTGTCGGAGCCAGTGTATGAATAGGGCAGCCCAATGGCCTCTGGCTGAGGATTTCCTACGCAAATAAAAGGGCATTATTATTTTTCTCATTCTGTTAAGTAATCGAGAGGATTATTTCATGTAATTGCATGTTTTTTTTATTCAAGTAAGTTAATAAGTTACCGTTTGCCAAAATGGAATTGTTTTGGTTAAACGTCCACTCCTGACTTCATTTCCTGTAATTAACATATTTTGGTCACGTTATCGTCACGCTTATGATTGTCTGTGATTGGATGGAATCCCATGACGTACAGGTTATTCTGATTTAAAGCTCGATAACCAAGTCCTTAATGCATGTATTCACCAAAATATCCTACCTTTATCGTTATGCACTATCTCACGAGTAGGATGCATTTTTCGGAAGGATGTACCTGGGGCTACGTGAGGACAGCAGTGGGCAGCGCAGCACCATCCGTTGTATTGTACTTCTATGCTCTCGTTCTATGCTCCCTGCCTGCACTAAACCGGCATTTGCCGGCGTGATAAAGCACGGACAAATATCCCCTCATCCAGCAGTGGATTGATTAAAGGGCCGAATATGTTTAATCAGAGGAACGGCATTTGTTCCAACAACAAGAACAACGTGGATGAGCAACCTAGTCGCAGGCCATCGTTGTGCGGGGAAGGATGGCCATGAACGTTGTGACCGCGAGCGTTGTGACTCACCCGCGCACCGTTGCTTTGCCCCGCCCGTGCCGCCCAGATCGACGATAAGGAGGGAGTGATCAACGACGAGCTGCCTAACTGCTGGGAGTGCCCAAAGTGCAACCAGGAGGGCAAGACTGGAAAGGTAATCAAGGCGAATGCTGGGACAGGAGGCCAGGTTGGGGGGGAAGGACGTTTGGCTAATGGCCCACACTCAAGGTCGAGAGGTTATCGTGGTCAATGCAATGCCACCGGTGCGACCGCAAACCTCTCCATCGCTTCCTTCCTTCTGCCTGCTTCTCAAACGATTACACGGCCAAATCTGGGGTTGTGAGCCCGTTTAGTACTGGGATGGGTGACCACCACCGGTGCTTCCCAGGTGTGGGCTAGCCAGGTTTGCCTGATGTAATTGGGATTCCATGCCTCGTGGCTAGTGTTAATTGCTATTTGCTGGTGCTCGTGTGAGGGTGAGAATTAGGTTTAAGAGCCAGGGTTAGGGTTACAGCCCGGGTTAGAGCTACCTTGAGAGCTAGAGTTACTGGCAATTTCCAGAGGGGGGGTTAGGACATTTGCAGAAATCTTCTTGGTTCTTTCGGTAAAGTCACGTAGAAGGGAAGTAATAAAATAATAAAAATTAAACATAATAAAACAATTCTCACGACGTTTCGGCCACAACGCAAGCAGCCGTCCTCAGGTGAAAACCAGGTCCGTCGAGGCGACAGAGTCTGAATGAAACAGCACACGAGCTTGGAGCATATATATGAGCTGGGCGCATTGACAAAGGAATTTGCATATCAAAAGGAATTTAGCATATTTATGGGAAATGCAGGAATGTGATTAGTACTGCATATGCATGTGCATTATGCAGGATTAACAGCATCAAAGGGAGCTGCAGTTACTGCTGCTGCTGCAATTGCTGCTGCTGCAGTTGCTGCTGCTGCAGTTGCTGCTGCTGCAGTTTCTGCTGCTGCTGCAGTTGCTGCTGCTACTGCAGTTGCTGCTGCTGCTGCAGTTGCTGATGCTGCTGCACTTGCTGCTGCTGCTGCAGTTGCTGCCTTACCCATTTTAATATAACACTATGTATTATTCTACCCACCCTAATGTGTATCACACTGCTATATGTTTACTATACAATTACGACACCATACATTACTCTGCACACTGCACCATGCCAGTGAGTGGAACGCGGTCTGAAAGTCACCGTAAACGTGAACACAATCAGTTAAGATCCGAAATGGTTTATTACGTCCTTCCAATGATTGCTAAGCCAGAATCCATCTTCTCGGTTGAAATTGTCTCTGTGTTTGTATATGTGGATCGCCTCATGAACGAATCTCTCATGATAGCCAGATGGCTTGCAGAGAACCTCTGTCTTGGAGAAGTCAATGTCATGTGAGCCCACTGAATTGTAACAGTGATCTGCCACGGCTGAGGTGTTTGTCCTACCGTGTTTCAGGTCTGCCTTATGTTCACGGATGCGGTCCGAGACATGTCGTTTGGTTTCTCCAATGTAACTGCTACCACAGAGTCAACTTAGTTTGTAGACGCCAGGGTACTGTATGTCTGGAACCACATCTTTTACAGACGGGACCAGATCACGGATTTTATGTACTGTGTTGAATCGGACCTGGATCTTGTGTTTAGTCAGGATTTTGGAGATCTTTTTTGTGACCCCAGCAATGTAGGGTAAGGTGATGGTCTTGAAAGGCTCCTCAACAGGATCCTTCTTGATGGTTGGAGTGATGGCTTTGCGGATTGTGTAGTCGGAGTAACCATTAGCCTTAAGAGCTTGGCGTACGTGTTTGAGTTCACTGGAAATGTGTTCATGGTCGGAGATGCATTGGGCTCTATGATATAGAGTCTTGATGAGGGAATTCTTCTGGGATGGATGGTGGTGGGAATCCGGTTTTAGATAAGCATCCGTGTGGGTGGCTTTCCTGTAGACAGAGTGGCTCATTGAACCATCAGGTCTCCTTTTGATTAGGACATCCAAAAAGGGTAGCTTGCCATCATTTTCGACTTCCATGGTGAATCTGATGGCTGGGTGTATGGAATTGATGTGGTCGAGAAATTGGTCTAGAGCAGGCCGGCCATGTGGCCAGATGACAAAAGTGTCGTCTACGTACCTCTTGTCATCTGGCCACATGGCCGGCCTGCTCTAGACCAATTTCTCGACCACATCAATTCCATACACCCAGCCATCAGATTCACCATGGAAGTCGAAAATGATGGCAAGCTACCCTTTTTGGATGTCCTAATCAAAAGGAGACCTGATGGTTCAATGAGCCACTCTGTCTACAGGAAAGCCACCCACACGGATGCTTATCTAAAACCGGATTCCCACCACCATCCATCCCAGAAGAATTCCCTCATCAAGACTCTATATCATAGAGCCCAATGCATCTCCGACCATGAACACATTTCCAGTGAACTCAAACACGTACGCCAAGCTCTTAAGGCTAATGGTTACTCCGACTACACAATCCGCAAAGCCATCACTCCAACCATCAAGAAGGATCCTGTTGAGGAGCCTTTCAAGACCATCACCTTACCCTACATTGCTGGGGTCACAAAAAAGATCTCCAAAATCCTGATTAAACACAAGATCCAGGTCCGATTCAACACAGTACATAAAATCCGTGATCTGGTCCCGTCTGTAAAAGATGTGGTTCCAGACATACAGTACCCTGGCGTCTACAAACTAAGTTGCCTCTGTGGTAGCAGTTACATTGGAGAAACCAAACGACATGTCTCGGACCGCATCCGTGAACATAAGGCAGACCTGAAACACGGTAGGACAAACACCTCAGCCGTGGCAGATCACTGTTACAATTCAGTGGGCTCACATGACATTGACTTCTCCAAGACAGAGGTTCTCTGCAAGCCATCTGGCTATCATGAGAGATTCGTTCATGAGGCGATCCACATATACAAACACAGAGACAATTTCAACCGAGAAGATGGATTCTGGCTTAGCAATCATTGGAAGGACGTAATAAACCATTTCGGATCTTAACTGATTGTGTTCACGTTTACGGTGACTTTCAGACCGCGTTCCACTCACTGGCATGGTGCAGTGTGCAGAGTAATGTATGGTGTCGTAATTGTATAGTAAACATATAGCAGTGTGATACACATTAGGGTGGGTAGAATAATACATAGTGTTATATTAAAATGGGTAAGGCAGCAACTGCAGCAGCAGCAGCAAGTGCAGCAGCATCAGCAACTGCAGCAGCAGCAGCAACTGCAGTAGCAGCAGCAACTGCAGCAGCAGCAGAAACTGCAGCAGCAGCAACTGCAGCAGCAGCAACTGCAGCAGCAGCAATTGCAGCAGCAGCAGTAACTGCAGCTCCCTTTGATGCTGTTAATCCTGCATAATGCACATGCATATGCAGTACTAATCACATTCCTGCATTTCCCATAAATATGCTAAATTCCTTTTGATATGCAAATTCCTTTGTCAATGCGCCCAGCTTATATATATGCTCCAAGCTCGTGTGCTGTTTCATTCAGACTCTGTCGCCTCGACGGACCTGGTTTTCACCTGAGGACGGCTGCTTGCGTTGTGGCCGAAACGTCGTGAGAATTGTTTTATTATGTTTTATTTTTATTATTTTATTACTTCCCTTCTACGTGACTTTACCGAAAGAACCAAGAAGATGAATCCCTGCAGTCACGAAAGCTTTAAATCGAAATTTGCAGAAATGTTTAGGGTTATGGTAAAGGGTTCGAGTTCAGGGTTTGAGTAGAGTTAAGAGTTGGGGATTGAGTTTTGGTAATTGCCAGAGGGGTTAGAGTTCAGCTAATTGCCACACGGGTGTGAGGGTTCGGCTCGGTGTAATTGCCGAGGACCGAGGGGGTCGTCAAGTGCCCAGGTCACATGATATAAATTTGACGCGCGAACTCTGTCCCACGCGCGTGTGTGTGGGGGGGTAAGCAGAAGCGCGGGCCCGGCTTCAAGTACGCCTCCAACCTGCCGGGCTCGATGCTGCGCGAGTGTGGCGAGCGGCGACGCTCCGAGCAGGACGACGCCTTCCCGCGCCGGCGCTCGGACGAGGCGCTCAAGCGCGAGCACGCTCGCTCGGACGATGACGACTCGGACGCAGACTCGCGCTTCGGCAGCGTCGGCGAGGACGACGACGACGACGACGACGGCGGCGCCGACGAGGAGGAAGAGGAGGAGGACGAGGGGCGCCGGCGCGACAGGGACGAGGACGAGGAGGCGGCGGCGGCGCTGGAAGTCTCCGAGGCGGTGGCCGAGTCTGTGGCGGCCGCGGGGGCGGTGACGCCGACCGTCCCGGCCGCGAGCGATGCCGCGATGCTGTCGGACCACTCTCCAGCGTCGCCGCCGTCGCCGGCCGGGTCCGCGTCGTCACCGCCGCCGCCGGAGCCGCCGCCGCCTCTGCCGACCGCCGCCGTCGTCGCCGCCTCTGCTGCTGTCCAGCACACGCCGGCCAACGCCAACCGCAAGGGCACGGAGGACGGAGTCGTCGTCTCCAAGAAGAGGAAGGAGGTGGACGGGGTGCAGCAGCCACTCGGGCAGAAGAAGAAGGTAGCTATGCTCACGTCGCCATGCCCTTGTCTGCGTGCGTGCGTGCGTGTGTGCGTGTGCGTGCGTGTTGCGTGTGAGCGGTAGTGTTACGGTTAGCGCGCTGCACTACGAACCTGGTGACCCGGGTTCGATTCCCTTTGACGGCAAACACCAGTGACGATTATCTGAACCGGTCCTGGGCCTCCCCTAGGTAGACTCAGCCTCAAATGGGTAGCTGGCCTGGTCTGTAAAAACATCGCCGCTCGGGGAGACAAAGGTGGCCAGGCGTGGTGTTGGCCACCCACCCCCTCGTGTGCCGTGCCGGCCTTCATAGGTGCTCGCTAACAGCACTTGCCCCTACAGTCTGTTAAGGCTATACGGGGGATCTTTGTCTTTGTCCCCAATTAGGGAGCACAGGTGGTCATCTCGGTCAATCAACCCGTGACACCTGGGTCCGTCCCGTGACCTGCCAGTGAAGTGTTGACACTTCAGAGCCTGGCTGTTGATGTGTGTGTACGTGTACACCTGTGGGTGTGCCGGTGCTATTTGTGCTGGGCATATGGTAGTGAATTGGTTTGTCAGGTGAAATACGTTCTTGTGCTCGTGATATACGATGCATCGAGTCCCGATTCTAGACCATGTATTATTTGTGGTAAATGCTATTTATTTGTGTGCGTGATACGCTGATGTCACGTTTACGCAAATGAATTGTCGGAAACGAAATTGTACAAAACGAAAACAAGAACCAATGCAAATGAAACTATAAAAACAAGATGAAAAAACTTCTCGAATTTATTTGCAGCCCCCCAAAACGGCAGAGTTTATTCCGTGATTTCTGAACCGGTCCTGGGGCCTCGCCTTAACCAATCCGCACTGACTGACCAGCGTGGGTGAAGTAGAGTCAGACGACACCGGCACAGCGTGGGGAAATCTTCATCGCGCAGTGGATTGACAAACGATTGCACAGAAGTGCTCGTAGCAGCAAGCTGGGGGGGGGTGTTATGTGGAGGCGTGGGGAAGAGCTGGGGAGAAATGTGATCAGCTGTGAGCTGTGATCAGCTGTGAGCTGTGATCAGCTGGGAGCTGTGATCAGCTGGGGTCCTGGCGAGCGCCTTGGCGTCTCCCGAGTGCCGTGGCTCTGGGCCAGCGTGGCTCGGGGCTTCGGTTTTCTTGAATCGCTCAATTAGGAAAACGAGTTTCGGTGTTGCCTCCAAGGTTTAGTGACGAGACAGCTTTAACGACTCATCCCCCGGCGGATTTGATTGTCCGCCAATTAATTTTGGGTTCCGCTTGTCGTTCTGCACGACGTTTCACCGTACGTGCCGGGGTGAGCCGGAACTTCGGGAACCCAATCCGATTCCTAAAGAGGGTGCCGTCGCGCGCGGCTGAGCGTCCGTGACACTGCGGCGGACGGCTCGCGGCACAAAACGCGGAAACGTGTCAGAGACGCAACGCGGCACCACCGCGAAAACCTTGCTGTTTGTTACGCCAGAATCTTTTACCGTAGCGCTCCGTAGTGGCGGTGGCGGCAGCGAATGTTTTTGTGTATGGAACTCCGATGGCTGAGTTCGTAGCGCAGTGCGCTAATTGGTGTCCCACCCCTCCCCCATATGCGCGCGCGCACATGCGCAGTACTTAACCACAATTATCACAGTCAATTGAGTTACTCGCCTAAAAATGAAATCACGGTTTACTTGGAGTCGTTAAGAAATCCAAGAAAGCCTCGCCCTCCAGGTTTAACGGCTGCTGGCGTGGTCCAGGGCTCAACTTAATTTACTTATGCTAATTAGAATATCAAAATGATTGTAGTTATTAACTCCCATCGTCCCCTCCCTCCCGTCCCGCTGAAGAGCTGCATAGCTGAGTGGGCCTTACCTAGTAAACTAAAAATAGTTTAGTTCCCGCATGAGTGCATGGGGCTTTGTGTAACCACCCATGAGTCATTAGCCAGGGTCTGATGGCCAAAAGATTTGATGCTGCTATCACAACATACAATGTCAATCTCGAGAAAATAACCAACAAAAGATACTCGCGTGGCAATCACCGCCCCCCACTGGCGTCTTGGTGCCCATCGCCGAGCCCGGTGCCACATCAGCTCGTGCCACACGGCAACAGTTGCCAATCGGGGGAATCCACGCTCTGTGAGACCTTTCCTTTTTGTGGTAGAGGGTAAGGAAATAATAGACGTGGAGGTTCATTGACTAATACTGGTAGGAACCTCCTGGTTACATCAGCCCGCAGGGGATTATTGTGTCCGTCTGTCGTGCATCCAAAATGGGAGGGGTGGGGCTGAGTGGGGAGGGTGGGGAGGGGCTGGGTGGGGAGGGGCTGGTCACGCCGTGGTGCCCTTATAAAACTCAACGTTTCACCTACTCACGCCGGCTTGTGCCCGCCCTCACAGTCGGACATATTTGCGGAATACACCACGCCGCCGTTGACCCTGGCCATTGACCGAGCAACCCAACGTTCCTACCAGCTCCTTCCGCAGGAATGTGTTTTATGTTGCTTTTTGGCCAGTTTGTGTTTTTTTCTTATTCCGTTTTTTTACCAAGGAAAGTCTCGCCGAGTCTCGACGCTTTTTACCCCGAAGTTGTGCTGCTACATTTTCACGGGTAGAGGGCGACGATCGCTACGCTTTTCCCCATTAAGTAATTCGTGGGGGCTTTTTATTTATTTATTTTCTCAAATTAGAAAAATGTAGACCACGATGCCTGGCACCCAACACCGTCGACGGGGTCTTTAATATCCACTGTGAGGCAGGCAGCGTGTAGCTTGTACGGCTCATACAGGAACTCCTCTGCTTACGAACGAGTTAGGTTCCAGAAGTCTGTTTGTTATTTAGTGTATTTGTTCGTAAGTCCAGCTTTACTCCTGTCTATTCCAAACATTTTGTACGGCATGTACACTAAACACAGGGAATGGCTTTAAAAGTTGTATAATCTCCTGTATATGTAGATGCCACCGGTTCTTGACGTTCCGCAGATGTAGATGCCACCACCGCCATCTATTGCGCGGCGGTTGAACTTACGTCTCTCGGTCCGAGCAGGCAACTGGACATACGGACAGGTTTGTTCGTTTGTCTGAAAGTTTGTAAGTCGAATGTTCGCAAGTCGAGGAGTCCCTGTAGAAACCCGCACTGTTGACCAGGGCGGTCGTCAGTTTGAACCGACTCCACAGGCGGAGTTCGCGTTTTCGTAAAAAACGAAACGGCGCACCACAGGTGTACCATCGTCTCCCACCCAGAATGGAACTCCGCTTTGTAGTGGCGTCGCGCACACGTGCCAAAGACCGTAACTCGAAGTCTTTATTTGAAGCGCGTGACGACAGTTGGCGCGGGTCGCAGCGGCTAGGTGCGTAACTCGAAGCTATAACTAGTGAAGAGGTAATAGTGCATTGTCAGGAGCGCACTAGCCCAATTAACAAACTCAACACATTTGTTCACAGTAATGCGGACTTAAAACGGAAAATGTATATAATAGGCGACATGTTTGGGTCGTGCACATCTGTGTGCTGTAAAGAAGAGCCATTGCCCTCAATGTCGCCTGTTATATATTTTTTTCCATTTGAAAGCTGCGGTGTTGTTGACGATTGCGTTGAGTTTTTAACTACAAGGTTATAAGAGCTGTTCGTTTTCTGTATTGCATCTCCTTATTAAACAAAATAAAACCATTAGCTCGCTCTTCTGAAAAACCTTGCTCGCGGGAATTAATAAATAACCACACGGTCGCGCATGGCTCATCTTTCTCCTCCCTTTCTCTTCCCTTGCTCGCACAGGTCAAAGTAGAGAAGGCTGAAAAGCTTCTGAGAAAAAAGGTGAGCTGTTGGCTACGTACGGTGCGAAAGAAGTTCAACAACATGCGTTGCGTCCGGGATTGATAGCTCGCTAAACAACGAGCGCTCGGCACACTCGTGGCTTCTCATGGTCCCGTTGGAGCAGCCAGCCCCTGCGGTGATTCGCACACGTTTGTCGTTTTAGTTGCGTCGCCGCTAATGACGGCGAAGTGGGATTGAGTGCACTTGACGATTGGTCGCGCACCCGACGCTCCCAAGGGCAAGAGCCGTATGGTGGGAGGGAGGAGTGTGAAAGTTGGGTGTTGGGGGGGAACAGAATTATTTAAAATCTTTTCTACCTCGCCTGGAACGCAGGAGCCCCCGTGGGTTCGATCCCGGACCCTGGCGATGCCCGTCGTATATTTGGAGTCCTCGTGATTTTCCCCCAGGCTTCCTCCGGTTTTGCCTTTCTCCACATTTAGCAACATTATTTTAGATGATTTAGCTGCGACACATTCCCAGGAGAGATGATGATTATGACGATAAAGCCACTTCAATGAGCCATCGTCATGGGTGGCCAGGTTGCCTCTGAAAAACATCTAATAGCTCAAGTTTCCTTTACCTGGTATAATAAAATAGTTTAGTTTAATATAAAAAAATTATGATCGAAAATAAAGTGGGAAGGGACTGACAGCTGCGAGTGAGATGCGCCACTCGGTGGTTCACGGTGGGGTGAGCGTCGCAGCTTTCGTCGATCAAGCCTTGCGGCCGCATGAGGGCGCATTCCTTCACATTGCCGTAAACGTTTACCTTGAGTTTACAAAAAAGAAACACAAGCAACACCAAACAAACAAAACGGACGGAGCAAACGATCCGCTTCTCGTACAAACGTAGCAGATAAGCCAAATCCGTTCTCGAAGTGCGGCCTAGAATCGCAACGATTCATCGGATTACCGGTGGAGCGGATCGCCGCGTGCCTAGTTCGACGAGGAGGATACGGGAGGGGGAAAAAGGGTGCAGCGCACAGAGGCCCAGAGCCTGAGTGACAGGTGTGGTGGATGTTCCCGGCCGTGCCCATTGCCGGCTGGTGTAGATTGATCGCGTCTCGGGTTCCACGCGAGTGCCCGTGCTCGACACCTGTGCTCGACGCGCGTATGCGTGCGCATGTGCGTGTGTGTGTACGTGTGTGTGTGCCTGCATGCGCATGTGTGTGCATGCGTGTTAAGTGAGTGTTGGCCACCCACCCCCTCGTGCGCCGTGCCGGCCTTCATAGGTGCTCGCTAGCAACACTTGCCATAAGTCTGTTAAAGGCTATACAGGAGATCTTTGTCCTTGTGTGAAGTGAGCGGCCGCTGAAGTGGGAGCGTGCGTGCGGGCAGCGCATCTCCGTGTCCGCTCGTTTGGCAGCGTCAGTTTACTGAGGCCGTTGTTGACAGGAGCACTTTGCCCGTAGCCCAGCCCGAGTGGTCGCGCTGCATTTGGTGTATCGCCGCCGCCTTTTACCTTGCGTGGGCGTCGTCTGAATGTGCCTTTGGTTCTAAAACAACGTTTGGGAAGTGGAAACAGGTTGGGGAAAATCTTTCACGCTCTAGGATTGCAGAACGCCGTTCAACACGCGTTTGTCTTGGGCAGTATTTATTGAGCGGCGCTGAAGCGGGGGCAGGTGTCTGGCCAATGGTCCCTTTTTGCTCTGGTCTGTGTCTCCCAAGTTTCGTAGCTAATCCGTACATAGCCAATCCCGCTGATCGGAGGTGCGGGGGAAGGACAACAAACTAAACACAAAAAGCAGTTCTGAAGGAATTATTTTTAAATCTAGATTTAAAAGTGCGCATAGCTCCAGTAGCTTCCTCGTATCACCTCAGGATGGTGGTTTTTTCGTCGGGGATTATCAAAAGGACAAGAGCAACTGATGCTCTGGAATAACGTTACAGCAAGATACGATTGGTAAAAGTAAGAAAGAAAAAAACCAATGCAATTGTTTCTGCATGTGGATTAAGACTCTGCTTGGCAGTTTGAATGCCTTCTCGGCAATGCTCGTCACCCGCTCTCCTGCCCTGCATTAAGATAGCAAGCACCCATTGGTGTCCGTGGGGCAAGTGGAGAAAACTAATTAATTGCAGAAGGATGCGTGGTGCTTTTTTGTTTGAATTGGCATTCAAACGAGTTTGAACTGAGCGATTGGTTAATGATGGAAACTCGCTCACGAAGACAGTTTTAGGGTCTTGCCAGTGGAGGATTTTGTTGGGTGTTGCCGAGTTGGAGTTGCAAGTGGCGGAGCAGCGGTTGGGCGCTTTCACTGCTCTATGAACCCGGAGACTTAAATTCGGATTGCATCGGTGGCGAGCAATATCGGAATGAGTCCAGGAACTCCCCCCCCCCCCAGTTTACTAAGCAGCGCTGACCAGCAAAGTGAAGTCTGCTAAAAAAAAACGCACTACCAACATTGTGGGAAGGCCTCCAGCCAGCAATAGATTGACAAAGACCTTGGAATTATTATTATTATTATAACAAAAAAAATCTAATTCTCTGGGTTAGAGGATTTATAGGCTCCGCTAAATTCAGTTTCTGCTGAAGCAGATCCCCCCCCTCCCCCTGCCGCTTCTCGTACTTGACCGTGAATTGATTCGGATTTCAAATTTGCCGCGTGCGTTGTGGTACCGCCATCGCGGTTGTTGTTCCTGTGCTTGCCGGCACGTTACGTACGGTTGCTGAGTACGTAACCTACCCGCGGGGCGTGAAGTGTCCCGTCTCACGCTCCTTTGTTTTTGCATGCCTCGCATCAGAAGCAGAAGGCCGTGGAGGTGAACAATGGCCGCGTGGACTCAGGCCACCGGAGGGAGGGCCCGGCGGCCTGGCTCGAGAGGAGAGGCGTGGCCTCGGAGCAGGGCCGCGCGTGGAGGGGGACCGACAAGCAGTCGTCCGCCGCGCCTGACGCGCCCGCCGCCGCCGCTGCTGCCGCGGCCGCCGGGCCCAGCGGTCGCGAAAACGAGCGGAAACCCAACAAACACTCGCGCGACGCTGCCACGGCCGTCATCACCGGTGGTGGTAGTGGCGGCGGTGGTGGTGGCGGCGGTGTCACCGCTGGGGAGCACCGTTCCAAAACGAGAGACGCTAACGACCGCGTGAGGCCCGCCAAACTGCACGCGACGAGCAAAGCTTCCTCCTGGGGCCTCCACAAACCCGAACAGAACTCTGTCGGCAATAGCAGCGCGGGTCGCAATAACGCCAACAACAACAGCAGCAACGGCAACAGCGGCGACGGCGGCGGCGCCAACAGCACGAACAAAAACCACCGCGCGCCGCTGGTGAAGTCGGAGGAGGATGGCGAGAATGGCAATAACCGGACGCCACGTTTGTTCTCGAGTAGCGAGCGGCTGCAGAAGGCGGCCAAGAGCCTCAACGGGATTCCCCGCGGCGGCCCTGCCGCCAGGCAGCCGCAGCAGCAGCAGCTGCAGCAGTTGCAGCAGCAGCAGCAGGCCGCGGGGTTGGCGCAGGCGCCGCGGCTGTGCGGAGTGAACGCGCGGCTCGGTGGCCTCCCGCGGCCGCCTTCCTCCGTGTCGCCGCCCAAGCCGCACCTACTGGAGAGGCACGTGATCAAGCCGCCGCTCGTGAGCCCGCCGCCTGACGCCCTGCCGCTGGGCGACGGCGGCTCGCACCCGCTGCGGCGCGAGGCCTGGCTCGGCGTCTTCCGCTTCCTGTCGCACCGTGACCTCTGCGTGTGCATGCGCGTCTGCAAGACGTGGAACCGATGGTGGGTGGCACGTGCACTCGCGCGCGTGAGTGTGTGTGTGTGCGAGCGGTAGTTATTGCGGTTAGCGCGCTGCGCTCCAAACCTGGCGACCCGGGTTCGATTCCCGCTCACGGCCAACACCACGGTGACGATTATCTGAATCGGCCCTGGGCCTCCCCTAGGTCGACTAAGCCTCAAATGAGTACCTGGTGCGATGTGTCAACACCCATCCCCTCGTGTGCAGTGCCGGCCTTTATAGGTGCTTGCTAACAGTGCTTGCCCCAGCAGTCTGTTGAGGCAATATGGGGGGGGGGTCTTTGTGTGCGTGTGTGTGCTTGGAGGGGCATTGAAGGGGGAACAGTAGTGCAGTGGTTAGCGCGCTGCGCTACGTACCCGACAACCCGAGTTCAATTCCCGCTCATGGCCAACACCAGTGACAATTATCTTAACCAGTCGTGGGCCTCCCCTATAACAAACTACAGCTTTTTTATTGAATTTTACCAGGTTAAGGCCCACTGAACTATGTAGCTCTTTTTCAGAAGTGACCTGGCCACAAATGATAGCTCAACGAAGTGATTTGTCACGTGGATATTTATAGCAGCTAAATATTCTAAACGCGTGTTTCTAAAAGTGGACGGAAAAACCGGAAGTCCCGAAGAAAAATCCAAGTAACCACGGGGAGAGAGAGAGAGAGAGACACGCAAACTCCAAATATACAGCACAAGCATCAGGGTCGGGTTCGAACCCACAACCTCCTGCATACCAGTTGAGGTAGTTAACATCTCACCACTGCGGCTCCCCAACCACACTGGGTCGGCTCAGCCTCCCCTAGGTCGGCTAGGCCTCAAATAAGTACCTGGTGCGATGTGTAAATATCGCCACTGGGGAGACGAAGGCGGCCAGGCGTGTTGCTGGCCACCCACCCCCCCGTGTGCCCAGCCGGCCTTCATAGGTGCTCACTGACAGCACTTGGCCTCAAAGTAATTTAGGCTATACGAGGGATGGGCAAATGTAAAAGTTTCAAGAGGTAAGGGTGTAACACGGTTTCCCGAATAGAACAGGGTTATTTATTATAGGAGATTGGGGCAAAAAGAGACGATGGTGGCACTGCGAGTGAGTGGTTTGTGCCTGCAGTGTCGCTGTCGGCGCTGGGCATTGCTAACGTTAAGAACAAACAAGTGCCGCTGACGGTGGCAGAGACTAGACAAACAAAAATTAACCCAGGTTCAAAACGTCATTTTGTTACCGTTCTACACACGTGGGTTTACGCCGCTAAGCGGGTACAGAAATTCCAGAACGCCGCGTGGATCCGGGGCGCGCGCGCCCATGCGCATCGCATTACAGCCGCCCCGCCGTCACCACGAGCGGAGCGACGGCTCCCGTTGGGAGCAATTGCAGCACGCCCGGACCCCGTGGTGACGAGGGACCGAGCTCGCGATCCCGAGAGCAGGGGAGCAATTTGCGACTCGTTAACGACGCGGCACCTCCGGAACGGGCGACTTGAGGGATTGGGTCACATCCGCGTGAAGCGTCTTGAGCCTTGGCGGTGCGGCCCGGTCTGGGCCCGGCTCGCTGGCGCCACCCCACCCACACCACATCACACCACCCACCCCACCCACACCACACCACACCACCCACCCACACCACACCACCCACACCACACCACCCACCCCACCCACACCACACCACACCACCCACCCCACCCACACCACACCACACCACCCACCCACACCACATCACACCACCCACCCCACCCACACCACACCACCCACACCACACCACCCACACCACACCACCCCACCCACCCCACCCACACCACACCACCCACACCACACCACCCACACCACACCACACCACCCACCCCACCCACACCACACCACACCACCCACCCCACCCACACCACACCACCCACCCCACACCACACCACCCACCCACACCACACCACCCACACCACACCACCCACCCCACCCACACCACACCACCCACCCCACCCACACCACACCACCCACACCACCCCACCCACCCCACACCACACCACCCACACCTCACCACCCACACCGCACGTCGCCAAGAAAGCACAAACTATTTAAAGCGTTACTGAAACAATAACGCGGCACGTGGGTTTACGCTGTAATACCGCAGGTTGTAATGCAGGAGCAATTCCCTTTTCCGTGCGCAGCCTGGGACGACGTCGCGTGTTTGACCATCGCCCATTTTATTTTGTGTCGAGTCGTCCGTGTTCGTCTTTCTTGACCGGAGCGGGCACGTTAGGACGTGGCGAGAAGCTGCGCGCTGTTTAACGCTGATAACCCGTGGCAATGTGTGCACACACGCTCATCCATCCACACACACGCTCATCCATCCACACACACACACACGCTCATCCACACACACACACGCTCATCCACACACACATGTGCACGAACCTCCCCTCTCCGCCGCGTGACAAAATAATAATGCTCAGATACAGATTTAAAATGATGACAAAATTCAATAACGTCGGGTTTGTCCCAGCATATATATTTGTCTTTAAACTTTCCAGGCGTAATGTATTTTTCGAGTAATAGTGTTTGATATCGGAGGCTGTCAGAAAATTGGCAGCTTGGGTGAAAAGGCTCCTGTCTAAATACGGCAGTAACGGCACTTTCATTAATCTTTCATCTTGCCTCATCATTCTCGCAATCGCTGTGGAGGAGGGGTGGGCCGCGTTTGCTACGCGTGATATTGTTTGTAAAATTGTTTTTGACGGATATTTAGCATCCACATTTGTACTCTTTTTCTAGATGGGTGGGGGGAGGGAGGGGAAAAAAATCCAAGTGATCTCCTGGCAGCGTCGAGCCGCAAAGAGCCGTTTCAAACGAACGTGCGCCCTCACCGACAGCGGCTCGCGAAAGCCCCAAACTCGCGACGCCGTAACACTCCCCTGTCGTTGCCGTCGCGCTGCCAGTAAGCGAGGCGCTTCGTCCTTCCGACCCTACGAACGGAAGTTTGGCTTCCAGGTGAACGATGTCTGCGCTGTAGATATATTCGATCTCCAAAATGATCGATCTCCCACGTCGGTCGTTCGGCGTTGCATGCCCGTGAACGTTTAAAAACGCTGGCTTCGTCTTTATCAGTGCCTGTCACGTGGCTCCCACGTGATGAGCGAGGCCCCAATGCGCAAAGCGGCCAGGGAAAGTGCTGCCCTCTGCTGTGAAGTCACTTGAAGAGAACACGGAGGTAGCTCCGTGGTGTCTTGCTTTCGTGGGCCGTTGCGCCTGCACCCGCTCTGCTTGGGCGAGAGATCCGGGTGGACTCTTCGCCTCGTGACTCGATGCCCGATGGCACGAGCGGGTAAAGAACGAGGGGAAATTCCGGCAGCTCCGATGAATCATCGCGTCCCCGTTTCTTCACCATCGTCACCGAATCCTCCGCAGCTGAACCTCCTCCCCGCACGGCACCCCTCGTGGCGCGTTGCTATAAGGACTGTTCCGCAAGTGGCGCCCTTAACCGTGCGGATGGAGCCATTTGGGGGATTAGGTGCGCGGTCCGCAGGGGTTTAGAGGGCACGGGGACCCTGATGGTCGCGTTAATCTCGCGCTGCGCCCCTGGGGCTCTCGTAACCTCCAAGCGCAGTCTCTGCTCAATGCACGCCGCCTTGCATGCGTTTACGCCTGTCGGCAAATCGCCCCAATGGCGTCCGTTCTCGCCAGATCCCGGGAGCTAAGCAGGATTGAGCCTGGCTGGGAGGGGGAATCCGTTTGTTATCGGCTTCCCCGGGGCTACGCTGTCGGCAGAGGGCGGTGCAGCACGATCCGTTGTTCTGCTCTGCACTCCGACAACGCCCGCGATCCTCGCCTCCACCAGCCCCGCACGGAGGCAACTGTGAATCGGCGCTCGCGGTCTGCACCGCGTGGGTTAGGCCCTCGTCCAGCGGTGGAGTGACAGTAAGGGCTGTACGTGTACGTAACCTGCACGTGGTCAAGTGCTTTACCAGAGCGGCATCTGCTATGCGCAGCACATGGGCCGCCCGATGTGTCCTGAGCACAGTTGCACGTGGCAGAGCCGTAGAGAGCACCCGAGAGAACCCACGCGATTGTACCCGTCTGTGAAATACTCTTCCTTGCGGACGAGAGCACGTCCGTTGCGATGCCGGTCGGTCGCCTGCTCCGTTGAGCGTTGTTGTTTATCTCCCCACCGCCGCAGGTGCTGCGATCGGAGGCTGTGGGCCAAGATCGACCTGAGCCGGTGCAAGTCTGTGACTCCGCTCATGCTGAGCGGCATCATCAAGCGCCAGCCCAGCGCTCTTGACCTCAGCTGGTCCAACGTCTCCAAGAAGCAGCTGGCCTGGCTCGTCAACCGGCTGCCAGGTGAGTCTCGCGGCGCGCGGCCACCGCCAAAATCTCTCTCCGCGCGCGTTTGTCGAGACACCTCGACGGCGGCGTTTTGCGGTGCGATCGTCCGCACTGGGGAAGCAAAGGCGGCCGCCCGGGAGCGGTCCTTCCCCCACCACCCTCTCATTTGCAGTGCCAGCTTTAATAGGTGCTCGCTAACAGCACTTGCCCGTTTGTCTTTTCCATAAACGCCGTTGCCATCAACGTCCTGGGTAAGAGGCAGCAAGAGGCAGTCGCCCTCCAACAGTAAAAGAGGCTGCAGAAGCGACGCTCGCAATAAAGAGTGGGGCACGGGGCAGCTAAATTGCAGCGCGGTGGCCTCTGCCAGTCATCTCAGCCAGTCGACCGGTGAACCGTCATCTGGGCGAGCCTTCCACGCTTCACACGATAGACTCAAAGCGCACCGAGCCGGCACAAGCGCCGCGGTGATGTCGCCGCCCCCATGTATACCCGCGCAGGCCTGAAGGAGCTGGTGCTGTCGGGCTGCCCGTGGGCGTCGGTGTCAGCGCTGTGCGGCGCCAGCTGGCCTCCGCTGCGGGCGCTCGACCTGCGCTGGGCCGAGGGCGTGAAGGACGCTCACATCCGCGACCTCCTGTCCCCCGACTCGGACTACACGCCCGGTATGAGCAGCGTGCAGTGGCACGCGACGGTGCACCACGCGCACCCGACGCGGTGAACAATTTGCGCGCGTCAAACAAATGCCGTAATACACCACACACTCGTAGCACTACGCACGCACGTGCTCGCCACTCTATCGCTACTCGCAGAGCACAGCGTACAACGGCACGCGACGGATTTAAGGCAGGCAGAATAAAGGATTTTGTCAATGAATGCATGCGTTTTGGGTAAATCTGTTTGGGGTGGCTGCTGCGATTAGGACGTTGTTGTCATCGTCATCATCGTTGCTGCGATCCCTGGCGCGCAGGCGCGGAGGACCGGCTGCGTGGCGTGTCGGAGCTGCGTCTGGCCGGCCTGGACATCACGGACGCGAGCGTGGCGCTGCTGGTGCGCCTGGCCGCGGGGCTCTCCACGCTCGACCTAGCGCACTGCGCGCACCTCACGGACCAGGCCGTCAACGTGCTGACGGCGCCCGGAGCCCCCACTCGCGACACCCTGCGCCACCTCGTCCTGGCCGGTGCGTGCCGCTCGCTGGCGCCCGTCGCTACGCTCGTTGCGCCGCTCGTTGTTGTGAAGTCTACGGAGTTCCGTAGGTTGTCGTCGACGGGACACGGGCTGAAACCGCTGACTTGCATTATCGCTGCGCCCGCGCCCCCCCCCCACGCAGGCTGTGCCCGCATCACGGACGCGTGCCTCCCACTGCTGGTGCGGTGCCCTCACCTTTCCCGCGCCGACCTGCGCTCCTGCAAGCTGGTGACGCCCGAAGCCTGCCAGCGCCTCGTCACAGAACTCTGCCCGCAGGGCACCTTTGCGCTGCCGGAGGACCGGCTGATCCTGCGAGTGACGAGCACTGGCAGCTAGGGACCGGGGCGGATTGGGGGGGGGAACGGGTTGGAATAATGGACGCAAGCGGGGGTCATACGGAGGAGGTGCGTGAGTGCGCATGCCTGTGCGTGCGCGTTTGTCCATGGGATGTTTGCGTATGGAATTTGCTACAATGTTTGCTGTATTTGCTTTGTATTTTTTTCTCCATCCGGACCCCCCCCCCACACCTGGTCCCCCCCCCCTCCCCCGGCACCATCACACTCCTTAAAGGAAACATGTACATCTTACAAATATATATGTGCGTGCGCGTGCGTGTGTATATATCTATTTTTTAGGCTGGGTTGTACTTGGACCATTCTCTCGGGATTTTGTAAGTACGCGATTGTATGTATGTATATATATGTGCGAATGAAGGACTGACTATGCGTGTGAATTTCCAAGTTCCTTTGAACGACGTTTTTTTTTTGCGCCACTGAAACTTGGAACCCAGCACGCGGTTTCCCCGCCGCCGCCAGGCAACGCTGGCGCCGGGGACCGTGCCAGCCGGGACAGGGCAGCTGCTGTACGAGTCGTGGTCGATGGGGTTCATGGCATTTTACTAAATATTCATTTACAAAAGTTTGCGGAGGGTGGGGGGGGGGTGCTTTGATGCGATTGGCAGTTTGAGGAGAAGGGGTGGCACTGAGCGTGCGTGTGGCGGTGGTCGGTGAGCACGTGTGATTTTTTTCTACGCCTGCAAGTGTATTTTTGTACGTGAGTGAACGAGGTTGTGTGTGTTTTGCGCGCTTATTTGCAGGTGATTGAACGAGCGAGTGTGTTTTGTAGTCGTTGCACGTGGGAGTGTGTCTGCGTAAGTGCCAACGAATAAGTGTGCGCGCAAACGAGCCTTTCATTTCGAGTGCGGTTGAGTGTAGGCGCTGGTGAGTGAACGTGTGTTTTTGTGCATAGATGTGCATTGGCGCGTGTAGTTGCGTGTGTAGATGCGGTGTAGGTGTGGGTGGGTGAGTGAGCGAGCGGACCTCTGTTATTGTTGTGGCTTGCCTGTATGCTTTCTCAATAGTGAATGCGTGCAGGCGTGTTGTCAGTGTATGTGAGTGAGTGAGCAACTGAGCGCACGTGTTTTGTTGGTAGATGTGCGGGTGTGTGTGTAGGTGTAAGTGAGCGTGTGGGTCTGTGTGTGTGTGTGTGTGTGCGTGCGTGCGTAGCGGTTCCCACGCTGCGCTACGAACCCGGCGACCCGAGTTCAATTACTGCTCACGGCCAACACCAGTGATTATTATCTGAACCGGTCCTTGATCGCTCCCCTACCGAGTGAGGTGTGTAAAATCATCGCCACTGGGGAGACAAAGGCGGTTGGGCGTGGTGCTGGCCACCCACCCCCTCGTGTACCGTGCTGGCCTTCATAGGTGCTCACTAAACAGCACTTGTCCCAACAGTCTGTTAAGGCTATACGGGGGATCTTTATTTTTGTCTTTTGAGTGTGTGTGTGTGTAGGTGTGAGCGAGTGTGCGAGTGCCGTGTTGGTCGCTGGGAGTGGCCGGTCCACCAGGGCTGGCCTTGTGCCTCTGCTGTCGGGTGCTGAGCTGAGTGTGAGGGTGCTGAGCTGAGTGTGAGGGTGGTGCGCTGAGTGTGAGGGTGGTGCGCTGAGTGTGAGGGTGGTGCGCTGAGTGTGAGAGTGGTGCGCTGAGTGTGAGGGTGCTGAGCTGAGTGTGAGGGTGGTGCGCTGAGTGTGAGGGTGCTGAGCTGAGTGTGAGGGTGCTGAGCTGAGTGTGAGGGTGGTGGTGGTGAGGGTGGTGGTGGTGGTGGTGGCGGCGGCCGTGCGCCTCTCAATGTGAATCCGTCATGATGCCTCTGCTTTGTGGCCCAGGCCATTTCACTGGACCAGAGTCCTTAACTAACAAACAAACAAAAAATCCTTAAAAAAATATACCAATAATGTACGTACTATTTTTGACTGAACTCTGTAAATACCTGTTTTGTACGCCGCTTTATAACTAAAAGAGGAAGTTGAGCTTTGCCCGAAAGTACTTGAATATTTTCAAGGAAAATAAACTGCTTCTGATACCACGTGATCCAACGGGTTATCCACTGTCAGACCTGCCGAGGCCCCCCAACGTAGGCCTGCGACGTTACACGAAAATGTCTAGTTACATCGACGAGAACATTTTACAGAGGCGCGAGAGCGAAATGGGGAACTGAAATAGTGTTAATTGAACGAGACGTTCTGCCATCAGCGAGAGGGTGCCGACACTCGGAGGGGGTTGTATTTCTCTCCGGGTCATGAGCCTTTTTTTTGGCACGGAAGATCAGCAGTGGTGGCGAGTCGCTTTGTTTTTTTTGGAAAGGTTCCTCTTTGTGGAGTTTGTATTTTTTTTGTCGCCCCACCGCCCGGTCCTCCTCCGAAGCTACACAAACATTACCACGCATGCTAAACAGACGGGGCGACCGCAAGACAGCCCTCCGCTGCCAGCTCTCGCCCGATCACGGCTCAAGTCATGCTTGAAATTAAAACCGTCGACATGACGCAGCCGTTCATCATTTCGCCTGCAAAGACCGTGCGCGTGCACGCTTGAGCGCACGCACGCTGACACCGTGCGTGCGTCCACGTGCGTGCACGCGGGCACACTATCGTGGGTTATTCACAAATCTAGCACAAGATTTTCCTTACGTCCGCATCTGTCACCGTCCACTGGAGGGCGTTGTTCGTAACTTGAGCCAATCTCACGGGACCCAGGGAACGTCGTGCAGGAGGAGAGATTTGGTGTGTGCCTCTGTGTGCCCGTCCCTGCCGCCTCACTTCCCCCAGCCCCCCCACTACCCGCAATCCTCGCTCCTTATTATCGAGGCCATCTCAAATCTATCTCCCTCTCTGCTGCACCATGTTCCGTGGCCCCGACAGGAGTTGCTGAGAAGGAGAATATGACTCCCTGCAGTGAACATCGGCAGCGTGGAATAGAACGCTGCGTTTTTGCTGAGGTACAAAACCTGACATTGCGAAACTTCTCCTTAAGGTGTGAGTGAACGCCTTTGTGTGCCGTCTTATGTCCACGTTTAGGGGCTGCATTTGTAAATGACATTCATTGAATAAAACGTTTTGTAAATTATGCTGTTACGCGTTTACCTGTTTGAACCTCGTTTTTCATTTGTAAAGATGCCCAATTTTGTTTGTGGGTTTTTTCATTTATATTGTTTTTATTATTGTTTTTTACCTGAAATGGGACAAAATATTCCAACAGCAGCGTTTAAATGTTTATTGTAATTGGTGTTGAAAACACAAATGTTTACTGTTCGCATGGATCACATTTTCAAATAGCAAGTGTGTGAGTGGTGCATTATCGCAAGCCTGTAATGCCATATTTATGCCCTGATCTCTTCATCGGTGGCTGGACGTCGACGGGGGGAACCCCATCTCACCCCAAACCCGCCCACCGCCTCTTCCTCCGCACCCAACGCGCAAAGTCTTCGTTTGCGGGGGGGATGTGTCCGCCTGCAAAAAAACCAAAAGCACTCCCGCGCCAATCGCTAATGCCACTGGCGGTGGAACGCCGTTCTGCATTTGTGAATAAGCATACCCCCCCCCCCCCCCCCATATACTGTCTGCTCATGAGTAAGGCGTACAATGCTCTTCTTGTGAATGATCATAATGCGGTTCTTCACTTGTGACTTAAGCATTCAGCGATGCGGTGTTCTGTGGTTTGAGGTTGGTGGGGTGGTGGTGGGGGAAGGAGGAGCAGCCAACCCACCTAGTCTGGAGTATCGGATGTCTTTGGGGAAAGTCTGGGAAGTGGGAAGTCGAGTGGTGGAGTTGGGAGAGAAATATTTGTTCATGTCACCGATTACATTGGACAATTTATATCTGCACCCCTGCCTTGCTGGTGCTGTGTTGGTTGGCTGTGTTACAATGAGTTGGTTAGGGGGTTGATGATGGGGGGCAGGGAAGGATATAAAGAAGAGGGGGGGGGGGGCTGATGTAACCTGGCTACTGTAGTCCACATTTACAACTCTCTCGGTGCTCTTTTGAAAAGTAAAAAAAAAATGCACATGCACTGCAATCGGCGACAGCGTCAGCATTGTGTACATACAGAAGCCGTGTGTACATACAGAAGCCGTGTGTACATACAGAAGCCGTGTGTACATACAGATGCCGTGTGTAACTGCCATCCGGTGGCCGCCTCGTGGCGCGTTGCTGTTTTCCCTGATCAAACGGTGACCACCTTGTCCATTGGTTTAGGATTTTACATATTTTTGCAATGTAATATATAACACATACACAACCACTGAGGCAAATGAAGATGTCAGTTGGAAGTTTAAAATTAGAACACTTAAGTGTGGGGAGGTTCAGCTTTTTTGTTGGAGTTAAAAGAGTTTTCCTGCAGGTTGTTTGTAATTTATATAAACTGCTGAGACGACACCTCCCATTTCATATCTGTATAATTGTTCAATTATACCGGCATGTTTCGAGAGGTTTGTTTTGGTTTTCTGTTTCGTTTTTATATTTCTGTTGATATTGTTTTTTTATATATGAAATATCTATATGAAAGTGAGACGGATGATGGTGACGACGACGATGGTGACGACGACAGTGATGGTGGTGGTGTTGGCATCCCCCTCAACTCGTTGGGACTGAGTTGTCACTCGATCGCTCGCTCTCCCGGCCGACGAGAAACAGATGTTTACGTCCAATAAACTCGACTGCTCTGCTGGAGGAAAAAAAATAATCCCACGCGCGTGTCTCTCTTATCTTATATTTTATATTTATAGAGCGGCATTTGATCGACGCGCTTAACGTGATTCATAAAAGTGGTACTAAGAAATTATTTAGATGACGTGGGTGTGCAAGCGATGAGGAATGCATGAGAGTGTATTTGTTGAACTTCTTTCGCACCGTACGTAGCCAACCGTGCTAATCGGAGGTGCGGTGGGGTGGGGGGACAACCGCGTTAGAGAGATCATGAAAGGGTCGTGGGGAGGGAAGAGGAAGAGAATGGGCAATGAAAGAGAGGTGATCCCGCCTTGCTCACATGTGCATTGCTCTGCAAGATTATTTATTTTCATGTGCTCTGAAGAAGGGCTGTTGCCCGAAACGTCACCTTGTTACGTGTTTTTTTAAGGCCATGCACACTTCTTCAATGCGCTTGTGCACAAACAGCAGCATCACCTTTAATGCTCACGTGGGAAACGATGCAGATACCTGGAGAGACTTGATTGGGAGGAATGCCCCCCCCTGTTCTGAACCCGGACGGTGAGATGTTTTTTTGAATTCTGCGTTAGTCACAGAATGTGAATAACAAACACCATGTTACAACACAAGGATGCTCATGAATGTATTTGTACCAGAGCACCTAGGGCCAAAGTTGAGTGGTTGACTTTATAGTTGTGTAGTGGGTTCAACTGAGTCGCAGACTCACTTCTTGGAGGCAACACGTATATTAAAACCAACACACGGGGTAACTGCCCCTTAAGATAACAACCTATGGTGGTGTACCACCAGGCTATCTACACTAATCACACTGGAGTTAGCTACGACGGACCGGACCGCAGCCTGAGTCCGGGTCCACGTGTTGGTGACTTGTAGAACGTAGTTTCTTCAGGATGAACAACAGCAGCCGGTCCCTCTGGGGGACCCGGCTTATATCCTCTGTGGCGGGGCTGGCCCCGCCCTTAGCCACGCCCACCTTCTAGAATCCTCAAACAGGATCTCGGCCCTGACACGTGACCACCCCTAGCCCCCACCTGGGGGCCCTGTGTAGACTTTACCGGTCACGTGTCCTTGGGGGTCAACCAGAGTGCCATGGCCCTTGGTCACCCCATTCCCGTGGCTGGCACGCTCACACCCTATCATGTAGGGGTCGGCACTGCACGCAGAGCGTGGTGCCACTCAGCACTGCCAGTCAGCGCTCACCAAGCCCCTCTAGGGCCGGTACTGCACCCACATACACGTGGTGCCCGAGATGGCAATACACGCCGTGCCTCTCTCGGGTCGGCATTACAGTGACATCCCCGATGTCACTACAGTTGTATAATCGAACCTAAGGCCATATGTTCTGTACACTGGGAGTGGAGAGAGGGGCCGGGCTGTCAACTGATCACCACCTGGTGGTAAGTTGGATCCGATGCTTGGGGCACCGACCAGATAAGACGTGGAAATCCCAAACGAATGTTGCGGTTATCTGAGAACGTTTGGCGGAAGATCCAGTGCAGAGAGATTTCAACTTCCATCTCCGGGAAAACTTCTGCACTCCAGGAGAGGTCGTGGACATTGAGTTCGAGTAGACGATGTTCAGGACCTCGATTGTCGATGCAGCTCTGGAAAGCTGTGGCCTAAAGACAGTTGGTGCCTGTCATGGCAGAAACCCTAGGACCACCAGTGCTGAGGTCAGCTGTCGCGTTGAAGGAGGCTGCGTTGGCTGGGCCACGTAGCCCGCATGCCAAGCCACCGAATGCCTAAACAGCTTTTGTTCGGCCGGATCGAAGGGGCTAAACAGGCGCGGCACGGGCTAGATAAGAGATGGAGTGATGTGGTACAGGAGGATGTGGAGCTGAGTGGACTTGGCGATGACTGGTACCAGCGGTGTCAAGATCGGCCTCTGTGGAGGAGGCTCGTGAAGGACGCTACTGGGCAGTTGGAGGCAGTCGCCCTCCAACAACAACGGAGGGCGGAGGAGCGACGCTCACAACAACGAGCGGAGCGCCGGGTGGCTAAAGCACAGCAAGTTGGCACAGTAGGGAGCACAGGTGGTGCATCAGCCAGGCATCTCAATCAGTCGACCCGTGGCACCTGGGTCTGCCCCGTGACCTCCTGCCAGCGGGCGTTCGACACTTCACGTGGCTTCAAGGTGCACATGGCCTGGCACAAGCGTCGTGGTGACGTCACCGCCACTTAGTGGCGAATGGCGGTTGTTGTTGTTGTGGTACAGTTGGGGTGTGTGTGTGTGTGTGTGGTGCAGTGGGAAGCGGTAGTGTAGCGATTAGCGAGCTGCTCTACGAACCCGACGACCAGAGTTCGATTCCTGCTCACGGTCAACAACCAGTGACGATTATCTGAACCGGTCCTGGGCCTCCCCTAGGTCGACTCAGCCTCAAATTAGTGCCTGGTGCGGTGTGTAAACATCACCACTGGGGAGACAAAGGCGGCCTGGCGTGGTGTTGGCCACCCATACACTCGTGTGCTGTGCCGGCCTTCATAGGTGCTCGCTAACAGCACTTGTCAATAAAGCAGAGATGTAGGTCTTGTTGGAATTCCCTACACCTCTGCTGTAGCAGACGGACATAAAATATGACATCTGTGCAGGACCGCCCTTTCCTGAAACCACATTGGGGCTCCGCAAGCCTCTCCTCAGCGTGCCTAGCAAGGCGATGTTGAATAATTATTGCCAGGACCTTTCCCGGCACACTGAGGAGTGAGATGTCCCTGTAGTTGTTACAGTCTGTGCGGTCCCCCTTCTTAAAGAGGGGGACCACCAGGGCATCCTTCAAATCCTGCGGAACCCGTCCAGTGGTCCAAACTGTTACGTCATGTAGCGCAGTCTGTACACAAACGCCACCCTCCCTCAGCATTTTGCTTGGGAGATCATCTCTGCCCAGTGCCTTTCCTGGTCTCAGACTTTGGATCGCCTTCAGTACTTCCTCAACAGATGGCACCTCAGCCAGCCTCTCACAGGGGGTGACATCTTGCTCTAATATTTGAGGCACGGCAACCTCAGCAGGGTCATCCCCACTTTGCCCCATGATGTTTTCCAGGCTGAGGGATTTCCCCTCCCCCAGGACCTCACAGAAATGCTCATCAAATCTGAAAACCTGTTTCTGGGGATCGGAGATTGGATCACCATTCTTCCCCTAATGATGGTAATAGGTGTGGCGCTGCAAGTTACTTTAATGGAATTAAAGAGCGATTTGTGATCGCGGGCCACTGAGGCAGATTCCATCTCCCCAGCAACCCGCGACCACCACCCATCCTTGCAGCGCCTCACGGCTCTCCGAACCTCCCAGCAAAGGCTGCGGTAAGCCTCTTCATTCCCTGACGTAGGATGCTATAGAGTATAGACGATGAGAGTGGGCCTGTCGCTTTTTCTCAGCCAGCCTGAACAGCTATGACAGGAGGTCATAGAAGGCATCTAACTCATCAGGCTGGCCTGCATCCCTCCACGGATGTTCGTCTTCAGTGGGGGCACAAGTAACACCGACCACCACTCCTCGCCTCTGGTTGATGGGAAGTCGAGCCCAAAGTAGCCTGGGGCTGATACCCCCAACTGTACCACCACACACAACCCCCAACTGCACCACACACAACCACCCTGAACTGCACCACACACACCTACTCCACCACACAGACACACCAACTTTACCACACACACACCAACTTTACCACACACACACACACACCTACTCCACCACACACCCGGCTAACGGCATCCACGCAAAGAGCCCAGGGGAGGGCGCTGAACACAAGCACCTGTCACCCACCACCACGATTCCAGGCCGCGATGACGGTTTTCTCAGGATTCAGTTCCCCTGACCGCAAAGTTCTTTGCGCACGTGGTTGAACCCGAGCGCTAGTTCAGGTGATGAGTGGAGGTGCGAGAGGCGGCTCACCCTGGGTAACCCGGGGGGGACCCTGCACCTGGACCCAGGGTTCCCTGCACCAAGAGCAGTGACGATTTGAACTGGTCCTGGACCTTCCCTAGGTCGACTCAACCTCAAATGAATACCTGGTGCGATGTGTAAATATTGCCACTCATGTGCCATGCTGGCCTTCATAGGTGCTCGCTAACAGCACTTGCCCCAACAGTCTGTTAATGGTATACAGAGTAATCTTTGTCTGTGTAGGTGTTAGGGATAGGGTTTGGGTTCAGGATAGAGTTAGGGATAACGTTAGGGTTGGTGTTAGGGACATGTTGGGTGATCTGGTTGATCCAAGTCTACTAAAATAAGGACAGGGCAAAACATGCTTTTATGTTATATATATTGTTTATAGAGCGACAAAATATTGCTCCAGTAACACACGTGGTGCGGTCGTGTCGTACGTACAACATGCATTTGAAAAATCACGTGCGTTTTAAGTGGAGCCATTGCCGCGAGGGCGCGAGTGATCCCGGCAGGAGGGATGATGAGGCCCTGCCAGTGTGGAGGAATTAGGGTCGCCCTCTCATTTCTCAAGATGAAGAAGATGCTGACGGCACTCTGGCTACAACCTCAAACACTTCCGTTTAAACCCTGAAACCCAAACACGTTTAGCTCTCCAAACATTCACGCTTCGGTAACGTGCAATTCACATTTAATTTTAGAAATTTTATTTTCGTTTGGTAATTCCATTGCTTAAATTTCACTATCCACCATCACGTACTGGCATGCGATATTTTTTGTTTAAAAAAATTTCATTAAAAAAAATGCTAAATCAAATTGCCTTATCATCAATTAACGCCATGAAACATTACCTGATATGTTCTGGGTCGCCAAGAAACCAGCCTTAGGTTGGCACAGAACCCGTAGCCACAGCAAAAGGTATACTGGAGGTGGAATGCCCGGAGCGGAAATATGTTTATGGGTCGCCGACCCGGACAGAGCCGGCTGAAACGAAGCCCTGAGCGGCATCGTGGCACCGGGCCACGCGCCGGGCGGCGATGGGGATCGCGGCGGTGCGGTGTGCGCTACGGAACGTGGCCTCGCCGCTTTCCGGCATGGCTTGGAGTGGATCCAGCGTGGCCCAACGCAGTTTGGCGTGGCTCGCCCTGGTTTGGGGTGGTGGCTTGCCCTGGTTCGGGTGTGGTTCAATGTGGCTCACCCTGGTTCGATATGGTTCAATGTGGTTCGGCGTGGTTTGGCGTGGCTCGCCGTGGCACGGTTGCACGGGATGTGCGGAGACGCGTCGGGATCAGTTCAATCGGTCGCAGCCGCCGTCAGCCGTGGTGATGGTGAGGTTTCCGCGTGCGTTCTGGTCGGCTTCGATCGCTTCGAACAGCGACTTGAAATTCCCAACTCCGAAACCCTGGGGAGTGGAACACAGCACCCCCACACTGGCCATCAGCCTCACGGGGACTCGGACACTCACGCGGTAAGATCGGTATAACATGGCTTCACCATAACACTCACCCAGACTCTAGCACTAAAATAACCCACACTCCAACCATAATCCTTGTACTTAGAATGACACCAACCCTAATGACACCAACCCTAACATTGACTGTAACCATTATACTAATCCCTAACGCTAATATTAACCCTGACTGCACCTCTAACTCTTATAATAACTAATTCCAAACCCTATCTCAAACATTAACATGAGTGCTAGTACAAGGGCCTAGGCTATGGTCAGGGCTGGTGCTGGGCCTAGGTTATGGTCAGGGCTGGTGCTAGGGCCTAGACTATGGTCAGGGCTGGTGCTGGGCCTAGGCTATGGTCAGGGCTGGTGCAAGGGCCTAGGCTATGGTCAGGGCTGGTGCAAGGGCCTAGGCTATGGTCAGGGCTGGTGCTAGGGCCTAGGTTATAGTCAGGGCTGGTGCTAGGGCCTAGGTTATGGTCAGGGCTGGTGCTAGGCCTAGGCTATAGTCAGGGCTGGTGCTAGGCCTAGGCTATGGTCAGGGCTGGTGCTAGGACCTAGGCTATGGTCAGGGCTGGTGCTAGGGCCTAGACTATGGTCAGGGCTGGTGCTAGGCCTAGGCTATGGTCAGGGCTGGTGCTAGGACCTAGGCTATGGTCAGGGCTGGTGCTAGGGCCTAGACTATGGTCAGGGCTGGTGCTAGGCCTAGGCTATGGTCAGGGCTGGTGCTAGGGCCTAGGTTATAGTCAGGGCTGGTGCTAGGGCCTAGGCTATGGTCAGGGCTAGTGCTAGGGCCTAGGCTATGGTCAGGGCTGGCACGAGGGCCTAGGCTATGGTCAGGGCTGGTGCTAGGGCCTAGGTTATGGTCAGGGCTGGTGCTAGGGCCTAGGTTATGGTCAGGGCTGGTGCTAGGGCCTAGACTATGGTCAGGGCTGGGCCTAGGTTATGGTCAGGGCTGGTGCTAGGGCCTAGGTTGTGGTCAGGGCTGGTGCTAGGGCCTAGACTATGGTCAGGGCTGGTGCTAGGGCCTAGGTTATGGTCAGGGCTGGTGCTAGGGCCTAGGCTATGGTCAGGGCTGGTGCTGGGCCTAGGTTATGGTCAGGGCTGGTGCTAGGGCCTAGACTATGGTCAGGGCTGGTGCTAGGGCCTAGACTATGGTCAGGGCTGGTGCTAGGGCCTAGGTTATGGTCAGGGCTGGTGCTGGGCCTCGGTTATGGTCAGGGCTGGTGCCGGGCCGAGTCTGTGACCAGCATTGGCGTGAACCAGGATGTAATTTCTCACTTGATACATTACGGCACGCCACTAGGCTGGCTTGGAGTAGGGATTGTTGACGTAAGGCACTGCCACTCGAGGATATGGTTATGCTTATCGATTACAATCCTATATTACTGTACTCTATATTTCTACAATCTACAAATGGGTTATGCAAATTATATGCATGGATTTATCGTTGTCATCAGTCTGGTTGTGATTTTCACAAAACTAGGCCGAGATGAGTGTGGCGTGTCAGAAGTTATTATTATTAGCTTTGCGCGTGGTTACCCAGGCAAGCCTCACTGAGTTCCTCATTTTTAAGTATTGTGATGTTTTGGCCAATACAAGTTGCAATGTATGTTGTTTCTATAACTATGGGAGGAAACCAGAGAACCCGGAGGAGACCCATACAGAACAGAAGAAGAACACAACAGACTCCACACAAAAAGAGCGCCCGAGTCGGCAATCGAACCCAGGAACTTTTTCACCGCCGCCGAAAATTATTATTAGAGCGGGCGTTATGCACCGGCGTTGGGTGTAGGGTGAGCACCTGGTGGTTGTGGCGCTGAATGACCTCCAGGAAGAGCGTTGGGCGGTCCTGCATGGGCTTGCTGAAGATTTGCAGCAGGTATCCCTTGTCGTCGAAATCCACGAGGATTTTCAGTTCCTGCCACACGAGGTGGGGGGCCCAAGCGACGCTCACCATGATTTTCACTCCCCATCGTTTGTCACCGTCATTGTCACCGTCATCGTCGCCGTCCTCTCCATCGTCACCACCGTCGTCATTGACAACATCGTCATCTTCATCACCGTTGTCATTAATACATGGAGCATTTGTGCCATTCTAAAACTGCTAGGCTATCACAAATGTAGATGGTAGTGTTGCTGCTGCTGTGTTTCACATACCCAGTCTGCAGTCGTTTCGCAGTTAAATGTAAAAATTTGGTCAACATTTGGCCCAATTTTTTTGCAAATGACGTCATGGAATCTTTAACGTCCACTGTGAGTGAAGCATAGTGAGCACGTGTGTGTGCAAGAGGCAGCGAGCGAGCGAGTGAGCGGGTGTGAATGAGTGGACAAGCGTGAGTGAGTGAGCAAGCATGTGAACAAGTGAGTGAGTGAGCATGTGAGCGAGTGGGCAAGTGAATGGTGTTGTATCCTAACCCTTCTTCCATAATTGAGATTAATAATATTTGATGATTTTTATATATTATCTTTTACTTGTTTTTTTTAATGAGTGAAACACACCAAAGCGCACCAAACTGCAAAACACCAGGTGTTGTTAAGTAATGAACGAGAGGAGGGCTAGGATGACAGAATTGCAACCTTGCTTCAAGGCAAAGGCAGTGAAAGGAAGCAGAGGCGCCTTTGTCTAAGTCATAACCACAGAAAGCCAGGAATCATCACTGATTGTGTGTTAGGGATTCCGAGCTAATTAGAACACGTGCACACAGAAAGGGAGGTAGAAGCACGCCTTGTTCTCCTGCAGCTGAGGAAACAAAGAAAAACCCAAAAAGGCCTTGGACCTGAAATTAAGAATAACATTCCCAGAGCAGAAGGTTGGAGGGCCACAGGGAGCTGATTTAAAAGAGTGTTGTATATCTCTCAAGGCGGGCAAGACCCAGCTGAATAACAAGCCTGCGGGGGTCACCAGAAGTTCGCATTCGCCTAGTTAAGACAAAAAGCTCAATTATTCTGTATTGCTATTAAAGTAACGTTAAAGTCGGAATTTAACAACAGGGTAGGCTAAAGTTATTGATATTCACACCCACTCCAATTAAACCAGGCCACAAGTTACGCCTACTGAACCATCACCATCATTAAGTCAAATGAAATGTTATTTCCATACTTTAATACTTTCTATGCAACTCGACCCGAAGCATATGACAATCAGAACCTTCCTAAGTCAAAATTGAATCGCACCCAGACAGGAGCGAATATATCATATATAAGGTTGAAGAGGGAAGGAAATTAAGAGCACGGCAGCAGACAAAAACCAGAACTGACTCCAAGGCTCAACCGCCCTCACCTCAGGAGTGACGGAAATTAATGAGGCCTTGAACAACGGCCAGCTGGACGGCAACAACAACGGCGAGCAGAGATAGGGTGGGGCAAAGACTGCGGGGCTATGAAATGCAACTTCGTGTCAGTAAAGCTCTGACAAACAAGTTAAGTTAAAGACATCACAATACATAATATCTACATAACATCAATGTTAACGCTATTCACCGTAAACTAAAGTAAAACTTATGAAAAGCCAGGATAACGGGATGAATCACCACCAGGTCGAATATAATACATAATAAAAAAACGATGTTAAACCCAGGGTCGGAGAGAAAGGGAGATCCCGGCCGTCTTTGTATCTCCGCCGCGCGGGATAGGAGTGTGTATACGCTCGGGGAAACACCTCCACTTGAGTCAAGCACCACGATGGGAAACGACAGACCTTAGGTTACATACAGAATCATAACTGTGAAATAGTAAGGGACAAATGTTAACTTAAAACTTCTTAACCATTTCTTTGTGCGCCGGGTCGGAGAGAGTGTTGCCCCTCCCTCCAGGTGGTGCAACACGAACAAAGACGCCTATGAGACGATTTGTAACGTCTGTGTTTTGGGTTCATGAAGAAGGCCAGACAAGAGATAATATTGCACCCAGACAGAGAGACGACCTCGAGGCAATTTGTAACACCTGATTGTTTGCTCGTGGGTTCTATGGAGGGAGTGGGACAACGGAATACCGTGAGTGATGCACACAAGGACATACGGACGTACGGACACACACATGGACACACCTGCCTACGGACAGATCCTGACACAGCAAAAATCGAAAAGAAGCCCCGCCTTGTGGGCGGGATCCAGGGGGATTTTTCGGCATAAAGGAAAGGATCCTGAGCATTGGAAATCAGTGCGACCAGTGGGTTGGCTCAAGAACGAGTGCGACCAGAGGGTCGACTCAGGAGTGCGACCAGCGGGTCGACTCAGGAGTGCGACGGGAGGGTCGACTCAGGAACGAGTGCGACCAGAGTGGGTCCACTCAGGAGTGCGACCAGCGGGTCCACTCAGGAGCTCGACCGGGAGGGTCGACTCAGGAGCGAGCTGCGACCAGCGGGTCGGCTCGACTCATCTTCAGCTCGTCAACCTCTGCCGAATCGGGGGTCTCTGCTGCCACCGGAGTGGTGAGCATCGCGGTTCGGCGACAACCCAGAGCTGCACGCTACGAGCGAGTTGTGGGCGCCACCTACCGACCGGGTTCCGAACTGCGACAGCGTATCAACAGCCATCCGAACCAGTTCGCCACGGTGACAGGGGATCGACTGATACGTATGACGCGCACCGCCCCCTCACCACACGACCACCAGGCGTCTGTTTGACCTAAAGAATCGACTCCGAACACTGACTATTCAAGACAACTCTTACCACTCAAAAACACTCGAACCCATAAGCCATCCGTGGCTGGAAAGCATCACAACGAGACCGAGTGATGGCCCTCCGTCGTTAATAAGAGTATTCTTAATTTTTATCTTTAATATTTAGTGGGCTGTACTCTTAATCGCATAAATTCCCAACAGATCCATCAATACGAACTGATTCTTGGCACCTCCTTCCGCCGAGCCACGCTCACGTGGGGAGTGGTGGCCCACCGGATCCTTATCAGGTGATCTGGTCCCCAATTAGTAAACTTGGTATAAGATAACGAGCTTCGGAAAAGGAGCACCGTCGCAGGCCCTTACTCCGAGCCGTTCTGTTGTCAGATAACCTGCCGATGTATCTGTTGAGATTGGTGCCTTTAAGAATAATAACTGTTTTTGATTGTGTTTTTATCGCCGTATAATCTTTCAAGTATCTTTTAATCATAATCGCCGCACGTACTCGCATCCTCTACAAAATATTCAACTGTCCCGTGACCCAAGGTGCTAACAACGTGATAAGGGTTGCGTATGATCAATAAGGAGTGCGGTACTGCGTGAACAATATTGAGTATAATCATTCATTAACGTTAAGGTTTTCTTAGCATAGTATTTGCATGTTTTAACGACTCTCTCTCTCACTAACAACCATCGCGTTATGCGGGATCCATGTGCCGTTGTCAAAGTGAAATCAGACAATCGTTGATGATACTGTATTGATGCCGTGTTGACGTTCCGGGATTGAGAGTTCGCATACTATATCATAGTTAAGGTTGAATTAGTAATAAATTGATCAATACAGAAGTGGTTGTGTGATTCTTTCCTGAAATCTATGCATAAGATCTGCTTCTGCGTTGAGATCTGAACTTGGTGACCTTAATAAACACACTAACACATACTCAGTAAATGTTAAAGCGATAACGGGGTGAACCGGGGACCTAAAATATAACCACGAATACACACTCTGGGAATGTTAAAGCGAGAATGAGACGAACCTAGACAACGATGCCGAGTTAATCTAAGTTAATCTTGCATACTTACACCACACCTGCATAACTGCATACGATTAATTGCCTTATTCCGATCGATAACCCACCCTCATCACCGAGGCGGGGTCTGGTTATCATAACGACTTGCATTATCATAATTACACCCACTCGCATAATTAATACGATTACCTCTCGAATTGGCATAATTAAAATGTGCGTAATTACATAAATTAACATATTTCCGGATAATTACACATTTGGCCAAATTTCATTTAATTATTATTATTTTCACTGAATATTCATAACCCACATATACAACATAATAATTTCACCCACGCACGCATACAACATAACAAATTTTTATAACCAACATATACAACATAATGTGGGCGTCGTCCGGGATTTCTCGCAGACAGTTTATGCATGAATTCAGGAACGAATCACTGTTGTGTTAATCAAAGTGTTGTGAACTAACGTTGCCTTGTGATTGTAAACGGGGGTATACAAACAAAACGCGCTCTGAAGGGAAATACCAGAGTAGCAGAGTATAACAAAGACAGCTGGGCTGAGATTATTTGCTCGAGTTGAACTGACGCATCCTGTGATACAATTGTTTATATGTGCTCTGAAGGGGAATTCTAGAGTAACTCACGACGCACATGAGATGTTAGAATTAAGATACACTCTTAAGTCTATTAACCACACTACATAATAGAGATGGCACAGGATCCACAACATTCTGAGTTTGACACACCAACGCATAACACTGATACAGAGTGGACCTCTGAGGAGGAGATGGAATCTATGGAAAAACAATATCGGGAATTTGTGTTAAAACGTACTGGACGGACTGCTAGCCAGCAGACGGAGCAGAGAGATATATGGGAGGGGAGCCATACAGAAGATGTTAAGGCCCATAGAAGGAAACTACTTAAGGACGTGATGAAATGTGGCAAAGCCAAACGTGACGTAAAAATTGCAGAAATAGCGAGGGTAGACTCGTATCTCCTCGCACAGACAGACAGAGAAAGATTATGGAGTGAGGAAAAATTTGAAAGGGAGAGACAAGAGAAACTGTCCTTAATGGTGCAGGTAGAGCGTCTGCACGCCCTCGTGAGAGAGAAAGAATCCGCACTAAATGCACCAGTGAAACACCCAGACGTTGATACACAGAACACATACGGGAGTAACAATTTACCACACTCCGAGCCACGTGGACGTAGCCCAGGGCCAGATCTCACAATGAGTATGGCTACTATGCAAAGCAAT